ACCACACATCTCTGGCTAAAAAGAAAGAGGCGGGTCAAAGATGGTGTTTACCGACCTACATTTCTCACAAGGGTCTCTAACAGTTTTAAAAGTAAATATCGATTTATTCAATTTAAATAATCCTTTTTTCATTGTCTATTAAACCAGTTAAGCCAAACTACTTGTATCATAAAACATTTAAACTCGCTCAATTGAGTCGCTCGAATCCATAGCCAAACCAAACAACAAGACAAACGAACATAATACGACAGTCTTATGGTATATACCCCCGTGCCATGTATTATAAGTCAATGTCAAAAGATAAAAACAGTTTTGGCCCAGTCAAGGCTATCCAAGAACCACAAGAAGAAAAAGAAATACTATCATTATGCCTCATTTAATCGAAAGGGTCTGAGTTCTGGTTGATGGTCTAGAAAGAGAATCACAATGAAAGTATCCCCTTGGCTAAGGTAAAACCTAGAAACATATATGCAATCAAACATTAATACACAAGGTACACTCCTTAACCTCCTGTCGCGGAGTCAAGGCACCTGTTTAATGATTTAAGAGTACACGAGTGTTAGAAATTATTTGCCCACTGTATAATATTGAAATTCTTAGTTTGGCTCTGCAAAATCAATGTTACAAGGGAGTAACCAATAAACTTCTATTATATAAGATACGGAGATGTGGTATGATTTGCCAATGAGACAACTATCCACCAGAGTTCTATTGACGTGGATTCATGTAAGCTGTTGTTTCTTGTCGAGCGGACATAGAGAATTTTTTAATAGACAAAACTGTGTTAGACTACGGACGAATTACACCAAACATCTCCATGCATCGACTATGCTTTACAGACTATTGAAGGCTTACACCAAACATCTTCATGTGTCGACTATGCTTTATAGACTATTGAAGGCTTACACCAAACATCTCCATGTGTCGACTATGCTTTACAGACTATTGAAGGCTTACACCAAACATCTCTATGTGTCGATTATGCTTTACAGACTATTGAAGGCTTACACCAAACATCTCCATGTGTCGACTATGCTTTACAAACTACGGACGGCTTACATCAAACATCTCCATTGTCGACTATGCTTTACAGGCTACGGACGGCTTACACCAAACATCTCCATGTGTCGACTGTGATTTACAGACTATTGAAGGCTTACACCAAACATCTCCATGTGTCGACTATGCTTAACAGGCTACGGACGGCTTACACCAAACATCTCCATATGTCGACTTTGCTTTACAGACTACGGACGGCTTACACTAAACATCTCCATGTGCCGACTATGCTTCACAGACTACGGACGGCTTATACCAAACATCTTCATGTGTCGACTATGCTTTACAGACTACGGACGGCTTACATCAAACATCTCCATTGTCGACTATGCTTTACAGGCTACGGACGGCGTACACCAAACATATCCATGTGTCGACTATGCTTTACAGACTACGGACGGCTTACATCAAACATCTCCATGTGTCGACTATGCTATACATGCCACGGACGGCTTACACCAAACATATTCATGTGTCGACTATGCTATACAGACTACGGACGGCTTACACCAAACATCACCATGTGTCGAATATGCTTTACAGGCTACGGACGGATTACACCAAACATCTCCATGTGTCGCCTGTGTCGACTATGCTTTACAGACTACGGACAGCTTACATCAAACATCTCCATGTGACGACTATGCTTTACAGACTACGGACGGCTTACATCAAACATCTCCATGTGTCGACTATGCTATACATGCCACGGACGGCTTACACCAAACATCTTCATGTGTCGACTATGCTATACAGACTACGGACGGCTTACACCAAACATCACCATGTGTCGAATATGCTTTACAGGCTACGGACGGATTACACCAAACATCTCCATGTGTCGCCTGTGTCGACTATGCTTTACAGACTACGGACAGCTTACATCAAACATCTCCATGTGACGACTATGCTTTACAGGCTACGGATGGCTTACACCAAACATCTCCATGTGTCGACTATGCTATACAGGCTACGGACGGCTAACACCAAACATCTCCATGTGTCGCCTGTGTCGACTATGCTTTACAGACTACGAACGGCTAACACCAAACATCTCCATGTGTCGCCTGTGTCGACTATGCTTTACAGACTACGGACGGCTAACACCAAACATCTCCATGTGTCGGCTGTGTCGACTATGCTTTACAGACTACGGACGACTAACACCAAACATCTCCATGTGTCGCCTGTGTCGACTATGCCTTACAGGCTACGGACGGCTAACACCAAACATCTCCATGTGTCGCCTGTTTCGACTATGCTTTACAGACTACGGACGGCTTACATCAAACATCTCCATGTGACGACTATGCTATACAGGCTACGGACGGCTAACACCAAACATCTCCATGTGTCGCCTGTGTCGACTATGCTTTACAGACTACGGACGGCTAACACCAAACATCTCCATGTGTCGCCTGTGTCGACTATGCTTTATAGACTACGGACGGCTAACACCAAACATCTCCATGTGTCGGCTGTGTCGACTATGCTTTACAGACTACGGACGGCTAACACCAAACATCTCCATGTGTCGCCTGTGTCGACTATGCTTTACAGACTACTGACGGCTAACACCAAACATCTCCATGTGTCGGCTGTGTCGACTATGCTTTACAGACTACGGACGGCTAACACCAATCATCTCCATGTGTCGCCTGTGTCGACTATGCTATACAGACTGTACATAGAATAGTTTAATCCAAACAAGCATAACACCAACAGCAGAAAGAGAACAAGATATGTTATAAATGTAAAAAGAACGGAAACACAAGAAAGACAAACAAGTATGAACAGGCATTATACATACAAATCAAGATTAAATATTATTATTTACATCACTATCACAATATCCACAAAAGCATCAAATAACGGACAACATAAGAAATATTCTGAGTAAAATTAAGATGTGACTTGCTTACTCGTCCAACTGTTTTAGGCATAGCGAAATTACGGCTCTATATTTTAATTAGGTTGCATAAGGAACATCGTCAGTAGTATTAACAAAATGTTTATAATTCCAATTTTTCATCTAAAGATTATAATTTCTAGGACACACAGATCTTACAGACATTTTCAAGATAATACACACTGTGTTGAATAAAGCCATTTCCAACTCTTTTTGACTGAGTGTTCTTATGTTGTGCTTTTACACCATGCACTGTCCCAGGATAGGGGGAACGCTCACAATCCTTTTAACTCTTCCACATTCGTATGTCCTTGTCCCAAGTCAGGAGCATGTAATTCAGTTGTCGTTTGTTGCTGTCTGTCATATCCGTGGTTTTCGTTATCTGCATTTTCATAAATTAGGTAGTTTCCATTTTTCATAACAGGACCGTTTACAACTATACGATATTCGTTTAGCTGATTGTTGTAGGCTGTACGGTAACCTTTAGTTCCTTGCCAATCATACCACATCTCCAAATTTTTTTATTGATCAACTGCAGCACTGGGAAGACAGATGTTGACAATTTCCAGCAAGTTTCAATAATGATTTAGCATATATACGTTAAAGAAATAAACTCGATGTCTGCTGCAGATACTAAGAAATATATGACGAAATATCAACAGTTATATTCCAAGATTTTTTGCAATGCAAAATTAAAGTTAAACATCACCGAGACTATATTAACTGTATTCGACTAAAAAGAAAGGGGATGAAAGAGAAGACCGATACTTGAAAAAATAAAACCAATTTTGATAACAAAACAACTACCACAGACTGAAATTTTACTTAAGACAGTTATGAATAATGGATATGTTCGTATATGTCAATAAGGCAGCGTCTATATACCATCTATCAAGCTTTAAATCGTCTCAGGTATAGACAAGTTGAGACTGACAGAGTGAACAGATGTTGAAAAGATATATGATTTATATGTCAATGAGACAGCAATCCAACGACACAAAAAAAAACTAAAAAATATTTCGATGTCATTTCGATACTTTGAAAATTTGCTTCTCGGTCAGTGTAAAATTCAGGTCGATGGAATTTTTACTGAGATGTTATTAATAAAAAAAAAATCCTTTCCCCATATCTTATTCCTTCATATTGTTGATAGAACGTTTGCTGACTCTTTTATAATTGAAACACGCTTAGGGCATGGACCCTTTCTTCTTTTCTTTTCTTTAAATATTCCAATATTCCAATAAAATGGAAAACAAGAATAGAGGACATATTTATTAACTATTGTTATTGAAATGTCGCATAGATAAGAACAAGAGCACACTAAATAAGTTAAAAATTAAAGAATATAAATATATAACTCACAAAAATCTCACTTTCCAAATCCTTTCAAAAATAAAACATGAAAAAGAGGAAAAAAATATGCCCATCTACCAAGCGCCTGTGTAAAAGATTAAAGAACATCTATTCAAAAAATTTACCACATCAAAAAAGAAATAAAAAAAGTAAAAGTAAACAGGGGGTCCATGCCCCCAATTACTTGTATATTGAAATAGAGAAGAGGGTATTCAGTCATGGTTTTTCTACATTACTGCAGCCAAGACCAGAGCGCTCAGCGGCAAGCAAGGATTATATTGGTAGTCCTTTCGCCACAAAAGCCATCTGAATAAACACAGACAATTCATTAATGTTTATGATATGCTTTAATTAAAAAAATTCTACTTGACATTCATCTAGGAAAGTTCTTCATTTAACCGTGTCACTTACATATGTACCTGTCATTAATTAATGTACCAGACGTGTTAATTATTGAATAACTTGTTAACTGTTTGATTATTTGGTTATGTTTGGTAATGAAGACGTGTGAACTCTGGTATCATCAGTAAAGACAACATATTTATTAAATTCTGACACTAAGGAAATTACTTTGTCTTCTTTTTTTACAGAAATTCATGTTGCACAGTAGAAAAGTTTGTATGTCAATAAACGGACCACGTGAACCCATTAACCAATCACAATTTCGGTACCATTTGACTCTCGTACGTGGGAGGTGATATCCAGTACACAACTAGAAGCGGGTACCTTGTTGTGAACTGATTATTTTAATGTGTTGCACATAATTTGCAGTGATAATGTAACAAGAAACAACAAAACAAACATGTCTATTTTTCATCCTGTGGACCATACTTAGCGTTGATCGCACAGATCAACGTTCATTTGTGTTGGGCTTTCGTGCCCTGAACCAATATGGCGATTGTGTATTTATTTTATTTGTGTATCGTAGTAAATTTAGGTGGATTTACAGAAATTGGAACGCTTGCAGAGAATTTGAGATGTCCATCACAGTGCTCATGTCTTGGAAATTTTGTTGATTGTTCTCGGCAAGGTTTAATCGCTGTTCCAAAGGATCTGCCGATCTGGGTTACACGATTGTAAGTAATAAAGTATATCCCCCCTTTTCCAAAAGTTTACCTCGTTGAAACATTAACTTATCTGATATAAAAAGGCCATATTTGAATATTTTAGGGTGATGATTGAAGTTCTAGAAAATTCGTATATATGTTCTGATCATTAAGACAAAAATGTAATAGAAGCAAAAAAGGGTTGAATTTCGTTTATACATTTTGTAGATAGGTTATTGGCCTTGGTTCATATGAATAGACTTGGTGTTGTGTACACAATTTGAATACCCCAATATTTACCATAGACCTTCAAAGTAATATCCTTCTTTGAATTTATTGGTGAAATTCTGTTTAATTGTAATTCAATATAAATGCATACATTTCAGTATTTACTTGTTTACCTATTATTGTTAACCTTAAATGGACAAATAAAACATTGACAGCATGGGAAACTAGTGACATACAAGCAATATAAAGATGTTAATACAGTTATTCTTATAACATAATTTTTCAAATCATACTGAAAAAATTAAACAAAAATTAGTTTACTTTTGATACACCATTGTTTTTAACTAATAAGAAATTAAATTTTTCTCAAGAAATATATCTATTATGATAAGATATACATATACTGATGACCTTAATACTTTAACAATAACAAAAGCTTTATTCATTTTAGTCCATGGAAATGTTTCGATATTTTTTAATATTTATTCAGTCTTCAATTTCTTCATTGTCAGAACTTGAACTTAATTAAACAAGTTATTGTACTAAATGCAAGAGTCAACACTATTATTTAAACTAAGTACAAGTACAATGCAGTTATTTTTCCTATTAAAAGAGAAAACTAGTATATATGCAGTCCCTATATTTAAGTTGACCCTTTCCATATCCTCGCTTTCACTGCTTATGTTTCATGGCTCAATTTGTTTCGAAAAACATACTAACATGTGAGAATTTATTGGCTGGTGTTAATTCAAACAATCTTAGTTTGATGTCCTTTTGAATTTTTTTTCTAATGGGAAATGTGTTGTAGAACATATATGACATTATCTTCTAAATTATTCTTATTCACTTTATAAGTTTAATATTTATATCTAAAAACTCTTGACACCATCATTCAAATGAAATCAGTCTCTAACGAAAAAATAATTTCAGGCAATTTATTTAATCATCCTTTATTTGGCAAGTACAAATGTACTATCAAATTGTTCCTAATAATTTGTCAATATTTACTGGTTTAATAACTCTGTACATTGGTGTACTTGTGGTAAAGCAATAGTTATGGAAGGAGATTATATCGGAATATTTTGGTTCAAAGTGGAGAGATTTTCTAATTTTTATAAAATAATTTGGAGCTTCCCATAGATTTCCATATAGTTGATGTTTATATTTGATACCCTTTTATATATTTGTATTTGACAAAAAATGTGTGTTTTATACATTTGTAACTATATTTTATATACCCTGTTTATAATACATTTGTACATTACGAATAATATAAAGTATGCTTAAATAACCATGGTTCAAAGCAGTTAGAAATAATTTACCAGTCATAGAAAACATTCACAGGCAAGGTTTAAAAGCTAACTGCATTACATATATACTGAAAAACATGTACATTATATTTTGAAATTTTAATTTTTCAATATTTCTCAGGAATTGCACACATTTCATATTTAATCGCATTGATAAATACAAATGTAGCCTTCCAGAAATGGTCTAAGTTGCATATGTTGCAATATTTTTTTTAACCAATATCCAGGAGCAAAAATTTATTTATATCCATTTTTGTACATTTGATACAAAGTTTAATATATTTTGAAATTTATCAATAGTACAGTACATGTACAAAATTTATTGGAAGTAAGTTTTGTTTTGTAAGGTTTTACAGGTTTGATATATATCTTTTATTTTGCAGAGAAGTACAATATAATGCCATATCAGAATTGAGAAGTGAAGATTTTAGAGGACTGAAGAACTTAACCCTTCTGTAAGTTTACATTCATGTACATTTTTGTACCCTCAGAAGGTCATTGTCATGGCTTGATTGTTTATCTTTTTGCTCTGAGGAATGTTCTTTTCTGTAACAAGTAAAATTCCAAAAGAGAAGTACATTTTTAAGATCAGTTGCCAGGAAAGGTACATATTTGTTTAAATTCTCAGAATCTACCAATCTGCATTGCAAGCTAAGATCAATCTGTAAGAAAACTTTGCTTATAATGTACATGTTCATTTACATGCTTATTTATATTATTATATATATAGAATGACTTATCCATGTACTTAAATTTTTTTGAAAGATATCAATCTTTGCTTCAGTTTAAAGCAGAACAAGTTTATTTTGTCTTGTCATTCAATGCAGCTGACATCAACAGAAAAACAGAAAGATCACCATAACTATTGACAAGATTCCCAACCAAATCCTGTGACCTTGCTGGTACATATACAGGGTTCTCCATGACCTGTTTTATGATGTCCACAACCATCATTAAATTATCTTCTGCCATTGTTAAATTATCTTCAACCATCGTCAGATGATCCCATCATTATTTAATATATAAACTGCATGTATTCAAAATTTTTTTTTGTATTGCTAGCCACCACCATCTTCAGTCTATTTACTACTATTCCTTAAAATGAAATGGTGTAATGAAATAATTTCTATCACAACACTCATGGTTTTGTCCTGGTGAAAGTTCCTCCATGGTTAATTTTTCATCCATGGAGATCCCTACATATATTTTGGGTTAATCTAGTTTTGTAATTTCAAACTATCCCTTTACAATCTGAGAGAGGATGAACACAGAACTCTTCAACAAAAATACTGCTTTTATTAAGAATGTTGAGAGAGTTTGAAATGTGTTTTAATGATGGTTACCATTTGAATCAGTGACAACTTGTCTGAACTCTGGTCATTATAAAGCTTGCCATACATGTATGTGATGAGCCATAGATGATTTAGATGTTTAAGAAATACATGTAATACTTTTACATGTACAGAATGAATATTTTTCAAATTCCAAATTTTCACTTTCAAATAACTACAGTAATAAGATTATCTGGAACACTGATGTAAGTCTCTAAAAGAGGCTATATCAAAACTTAGTAAATTCTGTCAGATATTAGGTCTATTAAAAGGTATATCTGTCATACAAACATTCCATGGAAGACTTCGAATTCAAGGACAATGATTTATGGCAACCCAGGAACAATCCATTTTGCTCAATCTTATTCTGAAATTAAATAATATGAAAGGAGGTGTACATATGAAAACATTTACAATGCTATAATGCTTTAAATGATTGAATACTTTGTGTGAAAGTGTCATAGATTATCAGTCTGTCTCAACAGAAAAAGAAGTTTCTATTATAACTTTAAATGTTCTGATTATGTAAGATATAATTGATATTGATCATATTAATAGGCTATTTGAAGAAAGTGCAAATTTTTTGACATGGTATAATACAGCTATGTATGATAATATTAATAAGTTGACATGTACAAATGAATTTGATTTTATGAGATTGTACTAAACTTAGAAACAGTGACTTAGCTAGAAATCATCTTTTAAGTGGTCAGTTATTCTTAGTAACTTATTAGAAAAATTAATTTTTCATAACATAAAGATCCTCACTTTTTCCTTAAATGAATAATTGATCTTTTCTGTTTTTGAGTGATTAAATGATTAATGACAATTTTATTTCCCTTTTCTAAGGAAAAAAAAAGACCTAGCTTAAGGAAAAGCATAAGTTTTTTAGATTCTGGAGTATTTTCAAAATGAAAATATTTCTAAGTAAATGCAGATGAAAATCAGCCAATTTGCTCTTTGTATTTAAATTCCAGTTTGAATTTCACTGAAGTAAAACCATTGATATCTTAACATTTGTAAAAAAAATATATCTAAAAGTAGACATGAACACCTGAAAGAAACAGCTGAAAGAATAAATTCCTTACTGTAAAAATAAACGGCCAAACTGCATTGAGCAGTTCATAGATGTTTTCAATGTAATGGCAATAAAATTCATTTTGTTCTCTTTTGAAAGCATGCAGTTTACTTGATTTGATAAAAGAGCATAAAACAAAAATAAAATGGAATTGAAGCAATTCAACAGGTTTTAATGTAATCACTACTGCTTAAATTCTCGTATATTACATTTTACATTCCATAAAACTGATTTTGATGAAAAAATGATGATCTAATGTTATTTCAATGGCTAACAATAATATCCTACATTTCATTGTATACAATGTATTTGCCAGTATTGTAAAAAAAAAAAACACGGTAAAATAACATACACCAAGCCCAAACAAAATGCAAATTTAAAATCATTGCTTTTACATAAATCTTTCAAATTCTCTTCCCAAATTAATTTTTAAGCGCATTCATGAGAAGCTTGTAGGAGCAGCCATGGAAACGATGTTTTGTCAAGTACAACAATAGGGGGCAATATTAGTATAAATTGATAATTCAGGAGATCTACATGATCTAGTGACATTAGTGTAAATGTATTATTCCCCCAAATGTTGGCGGTGTTTGGAAGTTATATTCAAGTTATATTCTGATTTATAAAAAAAAGATATTGTTCTCTTTATTAGCTAGTTACATGCACTTTTAGAGAAGTAGTCTTATGAAAATTTGCATATTTTTTTTATAGTTTGAGGGGTGGGGAGGGAGGGGGTAAGAGAGTATTCTATAAAGTAACCTAATGAGATTGTTTTTCATATTTTTTTTTGTACAGATTATGCTTCTTTTATATGTTGTAAAAATCTTTGTCCTATGAACAGAATTTGGATTAAAATGAGTTACATGAATAGACTATTAATAATTTTTGCTCCAAACATTCCTTTAGATACATGTAGTATGAATTTTAATAGAGATTGCATGTTAATCTACCATTTAATGGAAAACAGTACACATTTTAATGTAAAATACTCCTTATTAAGGTACAAAACTTGGCTATTCTGAGAAAGCTAACTGATAACCTTTGACCTTCGGGAACAATGAAATATCTAATGGAAGTTATATTACTAAATTAGCTTAAAAATTGGAGATGCTTCAGTGCACCATTGACAAAAGTTTCATTCGTTATGCTTCAGTCAAAAACTTGACCCTCAAGTTTTGATAGATTTATTAAAATTTTTACACAAATGTTATTCATTCAGGTGTTTAAAGTTGCATCTATAGATATAATTATTATTTGAAGATTTTGCACAATTTACTTTTTATATAGTTTTAATTAGTTTCATAAAGCATTTTTTTCAATTTTGAATTTGGAGGTACATGTACTTGCTAAAAAAAGTTGTAATAGCAATTTTTTGGGGGAAATTGACTAAGTGGGTTTAAAACCCCGATTAATCTATTCTTTTTTAGCTTTGGACTAAGAAGATATTGTCATATTGAAGATTTTACAAATTTAAGAAAATGTTTAATGTGAAATTTTATGAAAAGTGGATGATTATATTGAAACTTCAGTGTAAATTTTTGTAAAACGTTGTTATATTATGATGGACATGCTTGTGAATAATTTACAATACACATTTACTTTGACAAGAAACTCCTTAACCAGGTGTTCGTAGGTATCCTGGTCATTTCTTAAGTAAGGATCACCTGTGTATAGACTTGAATTCAAATCCCCTACTAAACATATTTATGATCTTGTATAAAGTAATATTTAAACAGTAAATTTGAATATTTGAATTGGTTATAACACCATAGGGATATCTTAAAACTGGCAACTTACATAAACATACATTGTAAAGTCTATTTATAAAAAAAAATTGCTTGAGTGATAAAATTAGTTGAAAAATTAATTGCTTTTTGGATGTATTTGTTTACCGAACCAGTAGAATGCTTATGTTCCACATTTCTGGGGTTATAATATATATAGGAATACTTATTCCTTTTTGCTATTTCACTTTGTAATTGGACAAATGTATCATTTTCAGTTCATATTGAGTACCAATATTTCATGAGCATGTACGTGTATGGTGACCAAGGTCATTTTATAATAAAATTTGAGAATCCAATACCAGTCTGTAAGGCTACATGAGTATTTTAAATAACTTTCACACCTTGGGTGTAAAAGAAATAAGCTTTAAATAAGGTTAGTCATTGTAGAAAGCTGGGAGGTTAAGAGGGGATTATAGGTATTGTGTGGAGATCTGTCAATCATCAGATTTACTTAAAATGACCACTCAAACTGACATCTCAATATTTTCTTTTGCTAATTGGATCACTAGCTAGTCCTGACATGTGAAAAGAAACAATTTCCAAGTGTATGACAAAAGGATGGTTGAAAATCAGTTTCTTTTACAAATCTATATATATATTTATACATGTATGGACATTTGTTCATACACAGTTTTTATTTGTAGAAACTTTTTAAAAACATATATTCTTTACTTTAATACATATTATATATACAAGTAAACAGCTACTACATAAGGAAATGTTTCTTACATAGATCTTTTAATTAGAGTCTGGAGGAATACATGGTCCCAGAGGTCCTTCATAACAAATAATGATGCCCTGTAATACACCAGTTTATTTGTTCTACCTTTTTTTGTTGTCATTTAGATATAAAGATGATTTTTCATACATGTACCTAGTTGTCAAATGGGTAGAATTTTATTATTAGAATTCAGGTATTTGAAAATTTGAATAGAAATATGGTTGTCAATAATCCCTTTTTTAACAACTGACAAAGATGAGGAGCTAATTTTTATGTTGTTCAGAAAACCCAATAATTACACCCTTTAAGTTAATGCTGGTGAGGGAATAGGTTCAGTCCCTGCCAGTAAACTGAAAACAGATGAGGGGGCCAGGGTAAGATCCAAAGGAATGAACTCACCTTAGGTAGAACATACTTTAATGAAGATGATATCCACTTCAAGTTACCATAAATGTTATTGGAACAATTGCTCAGTTTTGACAATTGAACAGATCTACAAATGCATATTTTTAGAGATTGCAAACTACATATTGTCAATTTCCCATTAAATTCAAATATACAGTGTGGATTAGATAACCGTTATAGTAGATACATATATATATGGCTTATTATTTATTCCTAACTCTTTTGCTACATTGTACATGTATAAGTTTACAGAAAGAAATTACTTTATAATGATAATCTGAAAGAAACTTGTGTAGTCAGTCTGTCTCTTAAAGTGTGACCAAGGATATCAGAAACTCATGATGGAAAAATAACCTTATTTAAAAATCCACTTTTTTCTTTTCATTTCTAGATGGATTCCTTTGAAGATGTTATGAATGATTTTCATTGTTATGACAACTTATAGAAATCAAATTGTAATAAAATGTGTAATTTCCACCAGAGTGGTGTTTTACTAAATTTGACCAATATATGCCTTTCAAGATAGTATTATGGAAAAAATTGTGGGAAATGTTAATTTTATTTGATAAAAGAAATTAATAACAAAAGTTATTTTCAAAGGGTGAAGGTAATGCTCTTCTTTAGTCCTTAGATTTGTACGACATTTTCATACATTTTTATTGAAGATATGGGTACAGCTGACGGTTTTAAATCTTTGCTTCTCAACAAACTTAATTTTTACAGTAGAATAATAGAAAAAAAAGGCCTAGTTATAGTGTAGGAAAACCCTGTTTTAAAAATGTATTCATTTTAAATGCAACTTTTCAGTTATTTTTTTGAACTGGTTACAAATAGTTATTTGTTACAGTATTATCTCACGGTCACTGATTTTGTTTAGTGGAGGGTGGTTTTTTACGTCTATAGTTACATATAAAATCTTAAAGTTTTGTTTCATTCATTGTTAAGACCTTTATTAAATTACAAGTCTGTGTATCCAAAAGTAACAAAAATGTCATTACAAGTACAAAAAGTGTATTAACTTATAGGGTACGGTCAGAATTACGTGTATCTTACATAAAGGGGACATCACTGTTCTCAGACAGCATCTGCAAGAGATCAAATTGACGTAGGTGATAGTTAAACACGATTTATGATGAAATGACTTTTGAAGTTGTTTTTATATTGTTTGATTTTAGTTATGGCCAAATGTACATGAATACATGATCAGTTCCAAATTGTAGGGTTTGTATTTGTCAGGAATAAATTTTGTAGAAGATTTACGATTAATTTGATAGGGCTTGATTGTTAATTTCAGATCAAGTTTTTAAAAAGAAGCAGATTGAATTCTTTGAAGCAACCATTTTTAGTGGCCAGTTTTCATGACAATGTCTATTTATGTAAATTTAGTTTAAAAAGTCATGATTTGTGATTCAGTACATTTTTTATTGGAAATAAGATCCCATTCAAATGCAGAAATGAATTAACCCAATACTGTTGGAAACATTCAAGAAAATAAAATACAAATTGAGTATCCTTTACAAAGTGTATCAGTTTCCTTTAATTAGATGTATAGAAGTATATTTTAACACTTTGTAGAGAAACTATAAAGAATACTTTACAAGATAGAGTACAATTAAATGAACCCCTGACGGGGAAACACTTTTAAAGCTGAAATTAAGGTTCTTGAGAAAAATATGTATGACGAATTCATAAAGTATATAAATTAAACTATACCCCAATTTTATAAGGGGCTATACTGCAATCACCTTTTTTGTCTGTCCAAATGTCTGTCTGTTTGTTTGTCCATCCATTCATTCATCAAAAAAAATTTTTAGTCACACTTTTCTCAAACTACTCAACAGAATGACATCACATTTGTTTAGCAGCTTAACAGTAATTAGTTGTGAGTGCCTTTCAGATCTGTTGGAAAACTATTTCCTGTTTTCTATACTTTGAATTGGGAGTAGGTGCATGCTTAGCAGGACAACACATGCATTCTTTTATTTTTTCTTTACCTATTATATTTGGTTATTTAGCAATGATCGCCATGATTACAGAGAGTGTTACATTAATTTTTTGGAAGGTCATGGAATGTTTGTTTGTTTGGTCATATGTTATGATGAATGCAGAAGGAGTTGGGCTATGATTTTAATAGATGAGCTGTGTTTCTGTACCACTATAGCTAGTTGAAGCTGTATTGCTAGAATGTTGGAGCATTTCAATTTTCTGATTACCCCAAACATCAGTAGCAACTGTCAATATTGTACTTAAGAGTGTAATTCAATATAGAAAAAATTATTCCTGAATCAAGGAAGAAGATTCCTGATAAAAAAAAAGGGCTGTTGGAGAACACAGTAAAATAATATGTGAAAACAAAAAATTTCTTGAAAGAATTTTGTGTATGAATTTTTGTCTTTTTCAGGGATGTCAGTAATAATGAAATCAAATTTCTAAATGGTTCAGTCCTGGAACACCTTTCTGGTTTACAACAGTTGTAAGTATATATATACCATACTGATCCATTGGGCTAAGTTTTTTTTTAAATAGACTTACATGTATGTAGAATTATGGTTGATTTGAAGGTGACAAACTTTGCAAATTATCAGGAATAACAAAAGTTTGACATACTTCGTGTTAAAATCTGTCATTATAAAGTAAATTTTAATGAAGTATTTTTTTTTAATTGGGGGGTGGGGGGGAAGAGGTTGTAATCAGTTTGCAAGAAAGAATGCATATGCCGCCCTGTAAGCGGGGAACATCAGCAGACTATAGTTTGTTTTACTATTTACCTTAATAAACTTTGTCCACCTGCCTGACCACACTTTGTATTTTGAAATAAACCAGTGACTTGACTCAGATAAAACCTTTTAGAAAGTCTTCAGTTTTGAATGGCATTATATACATCCTCTTTTATTTTTCATGGGTTTTCTGTGTAAATATGGACCTTCACCCATCTAGTCTGCAAATGTTTAATTTTTGTTTCGCCTTGACGGAGTCAAAAAGCGAGACATAGGTATGCTGTTCTGGCGTCGGTGGCTTTGGCGGGGGCGTCAACGATGTATTAGTTTGTGGTTAGGTCTAATTTATGGTGAACCACTAGTGGTAGTTCAACGATATTTGGTATGCAGTTGTATTACCATTGGCACATCTCATTAACATGGAGATTATTTGGCCCTGCCCCCTCAGTCATGGTCTATTGACTTTTAAACTTTGCTTAGTTTACATGTATTAGTTTGTGATTAGGTCAGTTTATGGGGAACTGCTTGTGGTAGGTCAATTATATTTGGTATTCAGTTGTATAAGCATTGGCATATCTCATTTCCATGGAGATTATTTGGCCCCGCCCCCTCAGTCATGGTCAATTGACTTTGAAACTTTTGCTTAGTTTTCAGGTATTAGTTTGTGATTAGGTCAATTTACGGGGAACCATTAGTGGTAGGTCAATGATAATTGGTATACAGTTGTATAAGCATTAGCACATCTCATTTCATTGGAGAATATTTGGTCCTTACCCCTCAGTCATGGTCTATTGACTTTAAAAATTTTGCTTAGTTTACATGTATTAGTTTGATTAGGTCAGTTTAAGATGAACCACTAATGTTTAGTCAATGATATTTGTTATGCAAATGTATTGGTCTTTGCAACTTTCATTTCCATGGAGATTATATATTTACATAGTTTACAAGTTAATGTTTGTGTTTAGGTTTGTTTAAATGGAACGACTTATGAAAAGTCGATGGTATTTGGTATGCAGTTGTATTAGCATTGGTACATCTCATTTCCATGGAGATTGTTTAGCCCTGTACCTTCAGTCATGGTTCATTGACTTTGAATATTTGCATATTTACATGTTAAAGTATTGCTATTTTAATTTCAACATTTGCATTATCAAAATAACAAATAGGCGAGACATATCTCTGTGTTAACAGTTTATTTTAACTATGTTCTCAGTCATTTATTTCTATCTTCAGCAAATTAAACCACAATAAACTGACAGAATTTCCAAAGTTGATAGGACTGATATCTCTCTCATCCATAGAAGCGTAAGTACTCTTGTTCATTTAGTCAGTAATGGTGGCCATGAGCAGATAATTGCTTCAAAACTAGTTATTCCTCTCATCAGTAGATATATGTTTTCTTTCTTAGAAAAAATCACTGAAAATGCATTCTGTCTGTCAATGAAAAGGAGATTTTCTATAAGGCTGCTTTCTTAAATATATATCACTATCTGGTTTTAATTCTATCATTACTTTGTACATTGTTTTTATGCTCCTGCCGTAGTGGTGGGGGCATTAAGTTTTACCCTTGTCCGTCTGTACGTATGTATGTACATACGAACGTACGTCCTAAAATTGGTTTCCGTTCTCTAACTTGAGTTTGCCTCAACCAAATGTTATGAAACTTATACATAATGCTTATTACCACAAAACACAGATCAAGTTTGAATTTTGGTGGCATCACTTTAACCGTTCTAGAGTTATGCCCCTTTATAAATGGAAAAATTGCAAAATTTTTAGTTTCCGTTCTCTAACTTAAGTTTGCCTCAACCAAATGTTATGAAACTTATACACAATGCTTATGACTACATAATACAGATTTAGTACGAAATTTGGTGGCGACACTTACACCATTCTTAAGTTATGTCCCTTTATAAACATAAAAATTGCTGAATTTTTAGTTTCCGTTCTCTAACTTTAGTTTGTCTCAACCAAATGTTATAAAACTTATACACAACTGTTCTAGAGTTATGCATGTTTACAAATAGAAAAATTGCTGAATATTTAGTTTCTGTTCTCTACTTAAGTTAGCCTCAACCAAATGTTATGAGACTTACACACAATGCTTATTACCACAAAACTCAGATCAAGTTCAAATTTGGGAAGCGTCACTTTTACTGTTCTTCAGTTATGTCCCTTTATAACTATATGATATGCAAGCGAGGGCATCATCTGTGGACACATGTGGACACTATCCACATTTATTTTAAATATGGTAAGAACCCCCCCCAGATATGTTGATACATGTATGTATGAATTATATACTTATTTCAAAGTCAGTCATATTTATAGTATGTTAACACTGATTCATTTCAAGATGGATATTAGAAAATTCTTTGATGTAATAAATCATAGATGTTATTTTTCAATGAACTGCAGCCAAGTAATAAATCTAAATTCATTTTTAATAAAAACTTTCTTTGAAACATTTTATTTTGCATGTCCAATAAAATCTAGTCGAAAGATTGTCATAATTTTTAGGAGATATTTAAATTTTTTATAGAAGAAACTTGACACAGTTTGAAGTGTCTTGTAAATTTCAACAAATCTTTTGTTGTCACTGTTTCATGGACGATGTTTGAATATTGATGACCTCTCCAACCTATGCAAGCGTTATAAGGGTAGATTTATCTAGAAAGATCTGCTTTATCACAACTCTACCTGCAAAATGGATCAGGTCCAATAAAAAATGTGACAAGATTAATATGTTATACTATTGGTAGGGTCACGCTATACCCCTTCAAGTATTAGGCAATTACTCAAATGGTAGTCAGGGTATGTTGGGAGAGCTTAGCTACCCAAAAATGTCCTGTGGGAAACTAAATATTGCTCTCCTATTAATAACCTTCTTTTCTGACAATTGTGAAATTTGTATTTTGTGTATAATTTATTAATCATAGTCTTCATAGATGCATTTGATGTATAAAGATCTCAAAGGTGGACTTGGTTCCAAATGTTTTTTGTACTCCAATAAAGTATGGTTATTGGAATTATTATCGTCCATCGTAATTTAGGATTACATCAGTTGAATAAAAACTTTATTTTACATTTTTAATTTATTATAGCATGTGCAAGGGTAGAATTTATTTCCAGCTAGGACAGGATCTTTGGCTTTTTTAAGTAATAATTTTTATTTACATTGCCTTTCAAAACTCTTCATGAATGAAATGCCATATTAATAGATTAAATGCATGTACATGCATCACAACAATATCTCTCCATGTTGGCTTGTACTCTCTATAATTGTTAAAGAATTTATTTGCAACAGGTAATTCAAAGCTGATAGTTTGTAAGATTCAAATAATCGACAGTCAAATGATTGAAATAAAGGTGACAAATTTGAGATAACAGTATCAAATATGTTTAGGTTTATCTCCAAAACTTGTGAAAACTACCACCATGTACAGTTTTGATTAAATTTTATATTGATAAAATGCTGTGAATTGAACTAGACATATCCCGCATAGAAGATGTTAAAAAAGATGACATTTTTGTTATAAGAGGGTAGATAACTGATATAAGAGGGTCGATAATATTTTTTTTTAACTAGGAACAAATTGAATCTTGTTTATATGAGAAAAGAAATTAAAACAACAGAAAAAAATAGAAGTTGACATTAGGGAACATAATGAAACTAATAGTTCTTTTTATTTTTTTTTCAGGAATCATAATCGAATAACATTTATTGCCCAGGAATTCTGCTTGCATATGCCACAGCTAAAGGCAATAGAAATGAACAACAATTACATTACTGATATTTCTCCTGGTGTATTTCCTGTCAATAATGTCATTCACAAAATGTAAGTTATAAATAAAGTAGTTGTCAGCTATGGTTGTCTAAAGAGTTTTGCCTAGATGATTCTATTAATGAAAAAAATCATTGATCTCATTTAAAAGACAAGTTCAATGTCATATGGTCGAGGACACAGTTATTGGGCTTAGATTTTCGTTGTCTACAAATATAGTCCATAGTGTGGACAGTGTATAACTTGCAAATTTTTTTCATACACTTTCAAAATTTAATTCTTTATATTTTATGCAGGAAATATTAAGTAAGGGGATGAAATTACATGTTAAAAAAATTGGGTGCTGAATCTTTATGTTAAGTAGTGATTTGGTCCAGTTAAAAAAGGTCAAAAACTAGTATGTTCGAAGCTGTCAAACTGAATTTTAGACCCCCTTAACATAGAATTGTCAATATTTTGAGTTAGAGCTGGTAGACTTTTCTATGATTTTGATATTATTTGTCCCAATAGTAGTACACTACACTGTAAATATCTTTCTGAGATCGAGCAGGTGCGATTTTTTTTAATGTGACCTTATTGTCTTAAAGAAATGCACTACGAAATAACTGTGTTCTGGGGCCATATGTGCTGTAAATAGTAAAATTATTTATTTTTAATTGAATTCAGGTCAAACAATGGACCATACATGAGAAATTCTGTTCCATTTGGTATAAAACTTTCAAATTCATAACAATTTTTCTCTCATTTCTTTTGAATTATTTTGTCCATAAATTAAAAATGCATAGCCCAGAATTATTAGACCAAATTGAATCACATGCCATGTCTATCATCACTATCCAATACTTCATCAAATTTTATTACCACACCAGTTTATCAAATAATATAAGAGGTGTTATGTAATTTTGGAATTTGTTAAAAATTGTTTATAAAGTGACAGGTGAGATGATAAATTTGATAGTAGATGATATGTTTGTGGAGACTATTTCAGGCTGGTGGAGCCTGCTTTTGCCCTTTTGGGTGGATTTCAGTTGTTTTTTATTGTCTGTAAAAATTAACAAGAGCATTCAGTTTGTTCCAACAGCTAAAAACAATGACATTATAGGAATTGAAAGGTTATATTGCATTTTCACTCTAGACTTTTAGGCTACAGAGATTTTCTTGTCTGTGTAAAAATCTAGTTGCATGCTCCATATTGTTTATTTATCTAATAAATCGGTAAAGATCAGTTGGTAAAAGTAATACATTCCATTCACCTTCTTATTAAACTGCTAGCAATGAAAGGAGCCATGCTAAAACTTGCAATCCAATAGGGAACCCATTCATTTGAATAAAATTAAGGTTGTTTACCATGGTTAAGTGGAACTTAAAACTGTGAAAGATTGGACATGTACAATGGAAATTGACAGTAGAGATTTATATTTGTCAAATTATTACACATTCTTTGGTCATAAATATCAATTAGATGCTGGTCAAATACAGCCTTAATGTCTGGAGGACAAATTTATGAGTTGCTATCTGTTATATTGTGTTGTATGATGCAAATTAGGACAAAAGCTTGACTCTGTCCATTACATCAGTAAGAAATATATATAGGTTCTTAGTTGTGTAAAAATGTAGTTCAACTTTCAATAATGGACTGGCACAATCAATTTTATTGTAAAAATCCATTATTTTTGCCATTGTTCATCCCTTGGTTGTAAAAAGAAATGACTTGTACTTTATATTAAAGTAATATACATGTCAAATATCTTTATATTAAAAAAAAATGTTTATAATAATATTGATTACCTATCCAGTTAACTTTATTGGATTTCAGAACAATGACTTTTCCATTGTACTTTCTGTACTAAAAAGTAAAATATGAAATCATTAGGTTGAAGTAAAAGAACTTTTTGGAAACAGAAAAACAGAAATAAGATTTTCGGCAGTAAAACTGTGTACAGATGGTGCATCAAAGGAAGTGAGACATCTTTGAGAGTATATACACATGTAGCACACATGTCATAATATTTTTACCTCATTAAGCAATTACAATCCATAGATATATTCTTTGTTCATGTCAATGTGGTTCACAAATCGTCAACAAAGATTGAATTTAAAATTATAAAATATGCAGTATTTGCAATATTTTTTGGAAATCAGAGAGTAGACATTTATATAAAAGTTTGGAATGAAAATTATGAATTGAAGAAAAGTTTGGTCTTGGGACAACATAAGCAGGATATAACCAGAAATTGAGTTTTAAGATTTAAAGTCATTACTTATTGTTTTACTTTAACCTCACACCTGTGTTTAAATCAAAGTACGTAGGATTGAAAAAGAGGTCAGTGTACCTGTTGAACACCTGTCCATTATTAAGAGGTAAATCCTGTATTCCAGTTACTATTGGTCATGTTCAATCTACCTACAATTCATTTGTATTTTATTTCTGTTTTAAATCCTAATACTATCATAGAAAGAATAGAAGCTGTGCATGGTCTTAAAATTTATAATTGTAGCTCGGATTTAGAAATTTGATCCCTCCTATCAACTTGAAGAAACATTTTTCATTTGCCTGAGTAAGCAAGAGAGATATACATAGCAGTATTAGTTTCAGGGTTTAGACACAAGGCTAGCTAAGTACCTGACAGAAAGCCATTACAGAATGTGTTTTCAATACCCCAACCATCTTCTCAAGTTGTACTTGCATGATCAACAGACCTTTGTTTGTTAACAGGGGAAGCTATGTTAGAATGGAAACATTTAAGAATTTAAATGTATTATTTTAATGTTCAAGATTCTTATCAGAACATATAAGATTCTAATCTGAAAAGTTCAGCTACAAGTTTTTGTTAAACAAGTATAAAAAAAACCTTTAAATTTAGATGTGCATTGATAGAAGTTTAGGAATTATCTTTTTCTCAATAGAATTAAAGTCTCTTAACAATACAATATGCAATTTAAAAGGTGTCTAGGTCATTAGGACAATATGTAAAAGCTATCATTATTTGTCAGCAGTTGACTTTGATTAGGGACTTGTTAGTTTAAATGGATAAGTCTTTGCTGAAGTTGCTTGATTGTGCAAGTCATTGTTTTTATATTATAACTAATTATATGTAAGTAAATTTTAAGTAGCAATGCTCATTGATGAAGTAGAGAATTGCAAGTCATGCATAATAAAGGTCCAATTTCCTTACACCCAAATCAGCATATTAAGTAATCAGATGTCAAAGATATAATTTTTGTAAAGTATGCAATCGTAAATACCAGAGAAAGTTGACAAAAAGAGATAGATGACAAAATACAGATACAAATGTAGTTGATGCAAGTTATTTTCTGTAGTCTACAAAGGAAAAGAAATGATACATTTTAAATGAGGGATATTTCATAAAAACATTCAGGTACCCAGTAACAGCACTTTCAGAATCAGATAACCACCTGTAGAGACAAATTTTAGAAATTTCACTTACATTTTCACTGTACTTGCACCCACCCATATTTGAGATTTAATAGTGCCTTACCTGGGTCCCATGCATGTTTTTATGGAACAGCCCTAATTAGTTATATTTCAGAATTACATGTTCAGTCCTAAACTTTAAAGATATGGCTCCCAAATATTTGTACATAACAGAGGAATAGTATATAACATTTATTATTTTATTACTTGAAAGCAGGTGTTGCAGTGCACTGGACATTTAGTGGTGTTTGCCTTGGTATATATATGTTTCTTTATCATCTTAAGTTACTATTTTATATCAAATTTCTGTTTTCAGAAACCTGAACAATAATAGATTAGAAACTCTAGAATCTGGTTGCCTTGACAACTTGACATCTATAGAAGTTCTGAAGATGAACAAGAACAGAATAGACAGAATACCTAAAAAATTATTTGACAAATTAACACAGCTGAAAACTCTGTAAGTGATAGCTGTTTTATCTAGCATTTTGTTCCTATTATTTTAATTATATTTAGATTGCTACACTATGGTACAGTTAAGATTACTAAAGATAAAAACATTGACATATTAAAGATTTGATAGTTAATTTGTTCATTCACCTTTTTATACGCCCGTTTACGGGACGTATTATGGTATACCGTTGTCCGTCTGTCCGTCCGTCCGTCTGTCCGTCTGTCCGTCCGTCTGTCCGTCGTCAACATGTCGGACATTAACTCAAAATTGCTTAAACCAATTTGCATAAAACTTTGGTGAATTGTTTATATCTATTGACGTGAGCTCCCTTTCGTTTTTTATAAAATTTAGATTTTACGTTTCCGAGTTATGGGGTTTTATTCATTAAAAAAAGGGGGATTTTCCAGTTTTCGGACAATAAGTCAAGAATGCTTTCACCAACTTGCAAGAAATTGTGGTGAATTGTTTATATCTATTGACATGAGCTCCCTTTTGATTTTTATAAATTTTAGATTTTACTTTTCCGAGTTACGGGGTTTTATTCATAAAAAAAGGGGGGACTTTCCAGTTATCAGACAAAAACTCACAAATGCTTTCAGCAATTCTTATGAAACTTTGGTGAATTGTTTGTATGTATTGATGTAAGCTCCCTTTAGAATTTTATAAATTTTACATTTTACATTTCTGAGTTATGGGGTTTTATTCATTAAAAAGGGGTGATTTTCCAGTTTTCTGACAATAACTCAAAAATGCTGTCACCAATTCTCATGAAACTTTGGTGAATTGTTTATATCTATTGATGTAAGCTCCCTTTTTATTTTCATAAATTTCTAATATGACATTGAGAATTAATTATACTTTATTTGTTTATAGTCTGACAACAGATTTACTAAGTATTGCACAACAGCAAGAAATCTTTAATTGAACATAAATTCAATTCATATAACCAATTTCAAGTTCTTTGAATACATTTATTCAGACACCTATAATATGTCAAATATTTAATTACAATCCAAATTCAGACCTGAATCAAGCTTGAATATTGTGTCCATTTTTGCCCCAACTGTTCAGGGTTGGACCTCTGCGGGCGTATCTAGCTGCGCTCAGCGAAGCAGTTTATTAAAAAATATTACAGCTAATGGCTACTTGCAGACTTGTAACAGTTACTGAAATATAGCAATACTCTTTTAGAACTTGACTTAACTATATCAATTTCTAGATGCTGGGTCGTTTTTAGTAAACAAGTAGGAATTAATTTGTACATTTGATGATAGATCCAAACATTGTCTACATGGAGGACTACTTTGAGGGGGTAAATGTATATTCTAGGATTGTGATAAGCACCCTGTTATTAATGGTTTTTGTCTACGTTTATGGGAACATTAAATATAATGGAAATTGTTGTTAAGTGTTTCAGGGGGAAATCCTGTCAATTTCACCATTTCTGCTTTATAGTTGGTAGTGATGCATCACTGTTTACAGCCAGACTTTATTTGCAAATAATTGTTTTAAACTACCGTGTTATGGTTAATGTATATTTTTTCAATGATGCATTTCCTAGGAAAGGTTGAGACTAATTAATATCATGATGTAACAACCATTGTTTGTAGTCGTTATGTAATTAATGGGGACTTTTCTCTATCAGAATTTATTTAATAGTTTGCTATTTATTTTTTGTGACCATGCACACATTGTCTTTTTCTATGGAAAATAAAAAGTGGAACATTAGCATCAACTGATTTTGTCTGTAAAATTTATGAGATGAAATCTGAGATAATCAGGTACATATTTTTTGGCACTTTAGAGGAAATAAACACAATATGAGAAATGTCAATATGAAATATTATAGTAGTTAGTTTGATTATTGTTTCATCTTCACAGTTTCCCTGCTCAGTGCTGAAATAATAATGTGTCTTTTTTTTCTAAATAAAATGTCCATATTAAACATTGCATGGTTATATAATGTAAAAAATTAAGAGATAGTTCATGCAAGCCATAGATTTGTTTGAAATTGCAAACAGTAGTTGGTAGGTTTTGGAATTTGCCATTGTTGTTTAAATCTTTCATTGGCATAATATTCCATATAACTAATGTAAATGTATGTAATTATTAATAGCAAAAAACTGTTTGATTCCAGGGAAATAACTAAGAACAGACTGTCAAGGTTAGATGGAATGTCTTTTCAGAATTTAATTCATCTACAAATGCTGAAACTTAGAAAAAATACAATATCTACAATGAATGATGCTACTTTCTTTGGATTAAAAGAACTGCATACCTTGTAAGTATCTCAAATATATATATCTTATTTTACTTTCTATATGTTCTACTAAAATTTTAAAATGATTACAGCTACAATGGCTGTTGTGGTGGAGGGATGGGAGACACTCAAATTAATTATGGGTGGTGGCATTTTCCTTAGAATTGTGTAAGAATTATAAGTAAAATGATGAGTTATATTATGGGTTGTTGGGGTCTTTTAAAGGGAACCCATGCCCCCTCCTGCAATTAATTCTGGAACAGCTCTTATCACTTGTCAAGTTATGTAGAGAGAAACATTTTCCTCTTAAGGCAGCCTATAGGCTAGTATGAATAAAAAGATATGTGGGTATATCTTAGAAACTCTGTGTGTTCTATGATAAAGACAGCCTGCAAACACCTGGTCAGAACATTTTCTTGTTTAAATTTGTAAAATTAAAGATAAACAGATTGTGAATATTTTGTTAGTAGCTGGGTTTCCATCTGATATTTATGCTTGTGATAATGTTTCAAGCTAATTATAGTGTCAGATAGAATATTTTTTACACCTTACTGAGGCTGTGATTTTACGGCGGAGGTCTTTGGAAAGGAGGTCTTCATTTTGTCCAATTATAAAGGTTAAGGCCAAGTGCATGTAGAGAACAATATAAACTCTACAATGCATACAACTTGTGTCAAACAAGCAGATGTCTACATATTGCAGTAATATTATGCACCATGTATTTTTGATGTAGTGACATAGGGTAAAAGGAATTTGAATGAAATCAATTACATTTGTCATGATGATCTGAGTTATAAATTGTCCATTATCCCTTGTTCGCTGTGTTCCTAAAATGTATATATTAAAGGAAATATTATACAAAATAATTGCTGGACATCTGTTTGAATGTAGATTTTTTCATGATTTATTGCTGAAGATTGAAAAATGTGATTTAGAAGTATTATATTTACCAAATATTTTCTTTATTACAAAAACTTTCTAAACCCTGACACAAAAAGTAAGGAAAACATGGATAAACAATGAAGTTTTTATCAGTGATAACTGCTGTAAAATTCTCATTGTAATCAATCTCACTTAAACATTTGTTATAATATCTTCACCTTCTGTTTTTGAAACGGTCATTAGCAACATAAGTAGATTTGCAGGTTAGAAAGTTTTGGTTTCTATCAGTATTCAGGTATAGGGTATCGTAGTCAGCTACTTTGTGAACCATTTGTTTTGCTAATTATCCTTCATATGATCCTTAGTGTACGTAAGATACACCCTGCTACAATCCGAATCTCTCATTTGATTTCTAAAATAAACCTAACTTGCAGAAGCTAGAATCGTTATGTAGCAGGAGGTATAGTCATTCCCATCCCTGACCAGTCTCTCACAGGAATTGATTACTGCTTATGCAGGTGCTGGAAAAATAGTTGTATTAATATATATTATGTAAATATTTAGATTTTTTCTACTTTTCAAATGATTGTTATTTCACTCTATAAATATGAAATAAAATAAAGTGAAACAACCAAACTTTGGAGTTTCAGAAGACAATTTCAGAAGAAAATAATGAAGTGATTGTGATTTTTTCTTTGTTTTCCATCCTATTTTTCCTAATTCACGTTATTTTTATTAGAAAAGGAATAAGTATAAACATATTTAAAGTTATATATTTTGGACAAAATCAATTAAATTTTAAGTTGAAATGATTCCATATAATATATATGTGTACTGATGATGTCATCAAAGACTGTCCTTCTTGTACTATAGAATAGATTTGTGGTATTTTTTTCATGACAACATAAATTAATTGTTATAAATATTTTTGCCTTCCAGACAACTGGACCACAACAATATTACCACTGTTTCCAGTAAATGGCTGTATGATTTGAAGTCTCTTAAAGAAATGTAAGTTTATCAGTATTCAGATTGATTAGTTGAAATAAAATGGCCAAAGCAAAAGTAAAATACAAAATAAGGGAGGCATATGTAGAGCACGGAAAATATATGAAGCATTTAAGATGTAGAAAGTTAGTTTTTACTCTAGAAAACAAACTGCTAACTTTCATTCTGAGTTCATGTTCTCACGACAAAAAATAAGAATATAAATGTACTGAATTTTTTTTACAAACATACTGAAATTTGAGTGAAAATTCAAATACCTGTTTCTGTCAGTGTTTGTTATAGCAATATAGGTGTATAACTACATTTTGAACTGGAACCCATAGGACCTTTAATTTTACATCTTTCACATTTAAATGAAATGCAAAGTATTCTGAACTTGTAAAGAATAATTCAGTCAAATCACTATGCATCTATAACCTGTTTTAATGATGGAATAAGTGATTAATTGTCTTCACTGTTGGATATTGTTTTGTAATGGGCCAGATGTAACCAGTAGGAGCAATCCAGCAAACATTTATGTGACAAAATCTCAATTTCCCACTTATGCAAAGTCACAAGTCTGTCATTGTTTACAAATTGGAGCCCTGTTACAGCAAGGTTATTCTAATCATGACCAATTTTTGTGCACAGTAGGTGACAGGTAAAAATAAATGTTGTTAAAAGTGAATATTAAGTATCTTGACCTTGCTTTGTACTGATCTTCAAAAGGTCAAATGTTACTTGTTATTGGAAAAATTTAATCACAGTTAAAAAATGAATCTTAATAAAAGAAAATGTTTCTTTAATTCTTTTGATACTTGCATCATTGAATTTTGATTAGATATTTTTATCAGGGATAGTGTCATTTTGACTATATAACATTGTATTGTATAAGGATTCATCATTTGTATGCCCCGCCGTAGCGGATGGGGCATTAAGTTTTACCCTTCTCCGTCTGTACATACATACGTACCAAAATTGGTTTCCGTTCTCTAACTTTTGTTTGCCTCAACCAAATGTTATGAAACTTATACACAATGCTTATTACCACAAAACACAGATCAAGTTTGAATTTTGGTGGCTTCACTTTTACCGTTCTAGAGTTATGCCCCTTTACAAATTGAAAAATTGCTGAAATTTTGTTTCTGTTCTCTACCTTAAGTTTTCCTCAACCAAATGTTATAAAACTTATACACAATGCTTATTATTACCAAAACACAGATCAAGAATAAATTTTGGTGGCGTCACTTTTATCGTTCTAGAGTTATGCCCCTATACAAATGGAAAAATTGCAGAATTTTTCGTTTCCGTTCTCTAACTTGAGTGTGCCTCAACGAAATCTTATGAAACTTATACACAACGCTTATTACAATAAAAAACACAGATCAAATATGAATTTTGTTGGCGTCACTATTACAGTTCTAGAGTTATGCCCCTTTACTAATTGAAAAATTGCTGAAATATTCGTTTCCGTTCTCTTTCTTTAGTTTGTCTCAACCAAATGTTATGAAACTTATACACAATGCCTATTACCACAAAACTCAGATCAAGTACAAATTTGGGTAGTGTCACTTTTACCGTTCTTCAGTTATATCCCTTTATAACTTTATATGATATGCAAGCGGGGACATCATCTGTGTCCCATGGACACATTCCACATTTATTTCACAATTATATTATTAATCTTTGGGAAAAAGTATGGTTTACACATATTTAAATGTGAGTTTTAAAGCTGCACCAAAATTCTTTTTAGCAGTTTATAGTTGCCACTGCTTTGCCCCCAAAGCAATCAGAATGAAAAAGCAAGATTCACCAAAAGATGTTGAAGTTCAATCAAATTTTGACTAAAATAACAACTGTTTTCTGAATGCATACTAGTAAGGAAGAAAGTAATTTGGTCCAATTATTAGACATTCCAATGTGTACTCGTCCTGAATATGTATGAAATATTTGTCGCAAATGTGCATGTCGGTCAATATTATAGGTTGTCTTGAAAATGCATGAAATAATTGCCACTGGACATTAAACAATCAATATTAATTTTTTTATTGATCCTATATTTCTTCAGCTTGTTACCAGAACCACACATGTTAATTTACTTTGTCTTGCTAATAAATTGTACAGCTTGAATGGTCATTATAGAAATGATTGAATTTGGACAGTTTAAAGGTTAACTGTACTGCCCTTTAGAAGTGAACCCTGTCAAAACATTCTAGAAGTAAATTAAATGTCTTTTAAGATATGTTATACATATGTCTGTTAACACTTATGGGAGAAATCACAAATTCTCCTTCAATGAAATTTCATCTGTCAGTCACCTGAATATACTCCATGGATGAGAGAGTTTGAATGAATAAGCTTTGAATAATCAACCTAGGCTTTTTTTTCTCTCCTTTCTATAGTTCAGATATATCTTATGCTTCACTAACCTGTTCATCTAGTGAAAGCTGAGGATAATACGCTAGCCATATGCAGATGCATGGTCTAAAGAAAGAAATTGATAAATTGGGTTGTGGTGATTAAAAATTTCAATTGAAATATATTGCTTACGACATAAATGTAGTATGGAAGATTTGAATTGTTGAAAATTGTGTTGTTTATTGTTTACGACATTGAATATAAAATCTTAAGCTGCCTTCTCATGCTTCAGTCACATTAACGTGTCAGTTTGGTCATCCTGTTTCAATAGCACCTTTATAGCACGGACTTACTAATGAATTCATTCCCTATTTTGTCATCATGAACACCAAGTTTTAAGTTTCTCGGGTGATTTGACAAACATTAAAATTTTATGTTTATGACTTCTACTTTGACTTCTAAATTCATAAATTGAAAAAAAAATGTTCATGTAATTTTTGCTCCTTTTCATGTGATTATGAAAGTGTGAAGATATTTTGTAATTCGTCATGCTATTTTTATTTATGATCAAATTACTTGCACCATTTCATATATTTTGAAAAGCCTTGAAAGAAATCATCTCTCATGTTCAGACATCTGTATCCTTCAAGAATACCATTAAACTTAAATTATTGGAATGCTTTACTTATTTATTGAAAATTAGATGATCAACTTTGGATTGAAAGAAAAACATGAAATGAAGGAAAGTTTCAAGAATACAGAATTGTTGGCCAACATAGATCTGAAAATACTAGAAAAGTTGAAATAGATGACATAATGACAGTCTCTTGGAGGTTATGTTATAGAACAATCCATCATTATTTCACCAAAAATTTTAAGAGCTTCAAAAATGTTTTGTATAAGCAAAAATGACTAGCTTTGTTTTTTATTTCAGCTCTCTCCATCACAATAAGATAACAAGAATTGAAGCCAACAGTTGGCAGTACTGCCCAAAACTGGTAAAACTGTAAGTACACAATCTTATTCGGCTGGCACATATAAATGATAACTTTTACTGCCAATTTGCTTTTTTTTTTACATCAGCTAATTTAAGTTTTTCAGTTTTATGGCCAATTATGTAAAAAATAATTATGTTTTAAAAAGAAAAATGTAGTTTAGATAGCATCCACCCTAGAATGTTCTGGCTTGTGTAATATTGCTGCACATGACTGAAAGTATTATCTGATACTTGGATGGAACATCTAATCAGAGAAAAATAAAAAGAAATATAGAAATGCATAATTTGTGCTGAGGACAGGTGGAAATATTTAATTAGCAGGTGTTTGGATCATTACTTCAAACATTAATGTGCAATAAAATATACAGATGGTATGGCTGCATAGATAAATGTTTGTATAGTTATCTCCTCATGACTGGATAGGTCTGTTTTACTGTTGGATTGCTGTTCCATTGAATTTTCCCCACATCTCCCTTTATCTACAAGCACATGTATACCAGTTATGACTAGGGTCAGTTCTCTGGACAAGGGTTTGTTTCCCATCCTCGAAGACAAACAAATCTGAAATTTAATGGTACTGTAAATTCAGAAATTATTGATATGTTTTTAAACATTATTAATATTATTAATGCTAAAAACGTGACATTATCAGGTTGGCAATAATAAAAATCACATAATTTCAGTAATGTGATTTTTCGCATTTCAAATTTTTGTCTGGTTCCAGGGTTCACAGTAATAAATGCATGCATTAATTTCAGAATTTACAGTAATATATAAGAAATCTTTCTTTTTCAACATGGAAACATATCACAATGCTACATGCATTCATAAAATTAAATTGCTATGAAACTGTCAATAGCTGAGATCTGATTTGTATGATATTATATCAGATTAAAACACATGTCATCCAACAAAATTAACTTTAATGACAGCAACTTCAGCAGACTTATTTCAATAGTAAACTCAATAATTTGAGAAGGAATAACTTTCATTTGAATGCCAAATTGATAATTCTATTGTTATCAGAATTGATTTCTTATGAAATAACATTTGATAAGAGCTCTTTCCTTTATTCAGCTGTCAATAAAAATGCACCAGGTGCTTGAATTGGTGTGAAAATAGAACTTGTTATAATGAAACAGTGCTATACTTTTACAATACAGAAATTGATCTCTATCTACACTGTTTATTCATAAAATATATTCTGTTTTGAATAGAAAATATGAAATTCAATAGGAAATAAAAATGAAACATGTTCTTGGGTCAGATGATATGTCTTTATACCAACGCCTATTCCTCATCAAGAATTTGAATAACTTGTAACAGGAGTAATGTCCCTTTTAACAACTTAATTTAGAAGTTTGTTTCCATTTCTTGATGAATTCTGGCAATTAATATCTTCAGTTCTTTGTTCTACATTTTTGTAAGGCATGTTCAGAGGCATTTGTGTGGTCATTAAATTCTAACAGTTCTTTTTGAAGTCCTAACAACTCTTGAGTATTCAATATGGATCAAATAATGTAGTTTCCTTATTTCTTCACTAAAGCATATGTTTATTTACAAGTTACAGCTGTATCTTGTGTGTAATACAAATTATACACTAAGAGTTATTGATGGATACATGTCACACCAGAGCAAATCTGGCTTCAAATTCACTAGATTCGATAAAATAACATTACAGACTTAAACCATATGTTTTTTGGGGATAATTAGGTATTATACAGTAGAATATTTGGACAATATCCAGGGGTTGTCTTATTATCAGGTGTTAATTGCTGATTATATATAAAAGATGGTGCGTAAAAGTCCCCATCAGAATATATAAAGATTGTTTCATACACAAGGCTTGGTTTAGATTAATGGGAGTCTAAAATTCCTCCTTATAAGCTCTCCCAATAGATATTAGTGATTACTTCTCCCATTTGATCCTATGAAGGTGAATTTTTATAATGAATTATACACTAAAGAAAATAGGTATAAGGAATGGGCAAACTTAATGGGGAAAAGACGAAACATCTCATGAAGGACTTCCAAGCAGACCACTAGTTCATGAAAAGTAAATTTCATAATACCTTTAAACTTAAGTTTTAGCATGGTGAAGATGTTTAAGAAAAGAAATGAACGTTTTGCTTTGTTGCAATAAACGTCAGGACATGATGAGTAAAATTTCAGAAATGAACATCTTTGATAACAAACTGATAACCATAGGTAAATTATTTTGAGAATATCATTTATTTGTTATTTGATATGCATGCAAAAATGTTTTATAATTTTGTGACCCCAAAAATGTTGACCTTCTATCTGAAATGGTGTTTTATTTATCACCATTTACTCATATATTTAGGATGGTAACCTTTTTTTTTATATGGATTACCTTTATAAATGAAAAAACTTTTACTGAATAGTTGTGGCTTATCATAATCTGTTTACTTAAATATTCATTATCACTAATGAAATTAATTGTCTATAAGATATGGTTAATTTGTTAATTAGCTGTATTATATAAAAAAATAGTTTGGTTGCCACATTATCTGTTGGTACTAATTAAAAACGTGCTTTGTCTGACAAACATACTTTCGTCAAGTGCTACAACATGTGTGTAAATTCCAGCATATAACACCAAGGCATTTCATTGGTAGAAAGAATTGTGTATTTTTGTTTAATTAAAAAGCATTGTTATCTTACTTTTGATAGAGAAACAGAGGCTATCTTCTGAAGACATGTGTTCATTGAAGATTTTCTAAAAACTAGTTATGCACTGTCAAACTTTATCCTTATTTTCATCATACGTTTTTATGATAATTTATTTTCTTCTTTATTAAAACTGTAATGAAAATTTTGAGCTTAAATCAAAATTTGAATGTCATGGCCTTTGTAAGATATTTGAATGATAATGATTAAAAGTTTGGATAATACAAGGTTTTACTGTGACTTTATAATACACCCAACAAAGAGATACAATCAGTTATACCCACCTGTATATCTATAAAGGTATGTTTCCTTTATTGACACACAGCCAATTAAACAGGTGTTATAAACATTCAAATTAAACATAATATCACAAACCTAATTTATCATATTTCAAATATTCAAATGATAAGTGAAGAGTTATCTTTCTTCAGGTTTGTACGAATAGTCATGTTTATAAAAGTCATGCCATAAAAATGTACGTGAAAAGTATCATTGGTCTTTTTTCTGTTTTTAACCTTAAATTTGACCAATAGATAAAACCTGCTTTTAATTAGATCAAAGATCAAGTTAGATTGAGACAGTTTACAAAGACAGTTAAACACATTTGTCTTGAAGACCTAAAGTAAAGTATAACCAGAATGGTTATTTTGTTGTGTTTTATTTGTCTTATTAATCCTACTTCCATTAACATTTCCCTAATCTTCTCTTCTTATTTCAAGTAATGTTGATCAAACAGTTCAGAAATAAAAAGCAAACTAAACTTCTGACGAAGGAGTTGCTATTTTATATTAAACCCTCTCCATCACTATCATCATATGACATAAGAAAATAGTTAATGCCTTATTTTTCGTGTGTTAGAAAAGTGGATTTTGGTTGTGGTATGTTTCTTGACTATTTGAATGAAACCTTTCACACAAAAACATAAGTTTATATTGATTTAAGTGTCTTCAAGCATGAAACATTAACTTCATGCATTAAACAGTGAATCTATAACTTTTGTGTAGAGAAGGCATACAACAGTAAATCACTGAATATTTATATATAAAAACATACTTTCAGAAAAACATAAAAAGAAGTGCACCTTGAAATTTGATCATTTTATAGTGAATATTTATTGGGTGCATCCAGTAAAATTAATTGCTTATTTCTGTGTGATAATTAGAATGGAAATCAGTAGATTACTCACACATTTAACTTAACATGCAAAACTACTCAGATTTAAACAAAAAATAAATAGACAGAAGCCAAATCTCCACCCCTTTTTTACCTTACCATCTGCAGAAAAAAAGTTAATATCTGATTTGAAGGAGAGAAAATGATTTATTATCTGTATTAAATTTTCACAGATAAAGAACATTCGCAAATAATTACTTAATGTGTGCAGTTTGAAGAATTATTTCTGCAACAGCTTCCACTTGACAGATTTTAGTACTTTCAAATATTAGTTTTAAAAATTTTATAACCTTGACAAAAATTTCCATGTTTTGATATGTTGATTATTGAATACTTTCCAAACATCCAGTTATAAAATTCATTAAAAAGTTTAAAATGTATGTTCTAAAATTCTATATCTTTGACAAAAATTTCCATGTTTTAATGATATGCTTATTAGTGAATACTTTTCAAACATCAGTTTTGAATTTGATAATTTTACAAAAATATCCCAGTTTTAATAATATGTTGATTATTGCAGATGCAAGTGTGATATAAATGTGTTTAGCAAATGGCTATGAGGAAACCTAAGCATTGTGGGAATGTTGGCACAAATTTCATTAGTAAAATCTATTTTAAAGGTTAACTACTTAAACAAACAACCTGTCATTTTATAGCAGCATCATGTATGATTGATTTTGTGTAAGGTGAGAAATTGTTGCCAAGTAGACAAAAGAGTGTCTACAGACAAGTAGTCTAAACTAGGATGTTGTCAAACAAGTGACACCTTAAAAAAGGAGGCAAAACTATTTTGTATTGGTTTTGAGCAGAATGTTTATGTCTCATGGAATTATTATAATGTATTGCTCTCATGAGAATAATTGTTTTTGTTTGTGTGTGTGTTTTTAAGATCAGTTTTCCAGTTTTATATATAAAAAAAAAATCATTTCTAATCTAAGATTTTACTTTGGTAGTAGAACAATCAGATTTAACTATCTGTTAAGATATAAGGTCAGATTAGGTATGAAAGAATGACTGAAGGTATGAAAGAATTGGATACAATGTTATTTACAAGAACAGTCATAGTTTTCATCACTCACTACAGAACTTAGAGTACATGTATCATGTTTTCTTCTATCTGTCTCTTGCTCTGTCACCATTCTTGTATCTGTCTCTCTGTCACCATTCTTCTATCTGCCTCTCTGTCACCATTCTTCTCTCTGTCTCTCTGTCACCATTCTTCTATCTGTCTCTGTCACCATTCTTCTATCTGTCTCTGTCACCATTCTTCTATCTGTCTCTCTGTCACCATTCTTCTACCTGTTTCTCTGTCACCATTCTTCTCTCTCTCTCTCTGTCGCCATTCTTCTATCTGTCTCTCTGTCACCATTCTTCTATCTGCCTCTGTCACCATTCTTCTATCTGTCTCTCTGTCACCATTCTTCTATCTTGTCTCGCTGCCACCATTCTTCTATCTGTCTCTCTGTCACCATTCTTCTATCTGTCTCTCTGTCACCATTTTTCTATCTGTCTCTCTGTTACCATTCTTCTATCTGTCTCTCTGTCACCATTCTTCTATCATTCTTCTATCTGTCTCTCTGTCACTATTCTTCTATCTGCCTCTCTGTCACCATATTGAATTTTCGTTTGGGAAAAAGTTAAATTTACCTTTCAAAAGTTATGTTACTTTACTTGCATGGAATTATTTACAATTTTTTAAAGTGTCTTTTGTCATAACTAGTTTTCTTTTACGGAATCCAACAAAAGTTTAGAACAGCCTTACAACCAGTTGTAGCTTCCAAACTTTAAATTTTAAAATATTTCAGATTTGTTGTTTTCGAGTTATTGAACTTAAGGAGTGAAAATAAGGAGAAAGAGTGTCATGCGATGATGACACAGCTGTTTATTTATGATATGTAGCATATGATAATTAATAGCTAATTAAAAAAGGGCAATACTACAGATATTCTGTATTCATAGATGAAACAAATGATTGTTGAGTTTTAGTTATAAAGTGCATTTCCATGTACTTACCAACTCTGATGTCATTCTGTGTGCACTATTTTACTAATTCTTTTCCATCCGACTTAGAGCATTATATTGTTGCGTTAGACGTTAAACACCCCCAACTAACTAACTAAATAATTCATTTTGTCTTTTACAGAGATTTGTCTCATAACAAGCTGAAGGCTATTGTCAAAGAATCCTTCAAGAACCTGATGGCAACTAATGTGCTATTATTGAAGAATAACAACATTCAGAACATTGAAGAAGGATCTTTCCATGATTTGGTCTTTCTCACTGAACTGTACGTATAATCTGTCAACAGTCGTATATAAACATATTTGAATATTGGGGATTAAGCCATGCATTTCCTAATTTTAGTGTCAATTTTTTATGATCACTTGATTGAAAGTCCCATGATATGTTATTTAGCTATATGAATGTATTGTTCATTAGGTATTGTTAAGTCATATTTGTGACTTATAATAAGAAAACCGTGATTAAAACAAAAAGATAACAAATATATAGTGAAATGGCCTTCATCGTGAATTTACAATTGTGACAGGTTGATGTATCAATTTTCTGTCGGTATTTTGATTAAGATTACCAATCTGTCATGAGCAGTTTTGGCAGATTTTTTTAAAAAGCTTTCAGCATTTTCTTGCTGCAGTTATTATGATTTTGATGGACCAGTATGTCCAAAGTATCATTACAAAGAACATATATGATAAAGCAATCCATGTCTTTGACAAAGCAGAAAGAACTTTGTCAGAATGAGAGATGGTATTATTTTAACAGCATTTTTCTTTGTAAATTACTGTCATCATTCATTGTCAGACTGATTATTTCTGAAAAAGATTTTCTGCTTATATATTGAACTGACATAATGAATTGTACACAATATATGTATAACATGGAAACAGTTTTTTGTAATAAGCTATTCTTGTGTAGCTACACATTCAGATAAAAAGATATGTTAGCTTTCATTACCCATGATGATATTGATAAATTATATAAGTGATATGCATGTTTTCAAAATGAATATTGTTCAAACTATAAATGAATATTTGAATTTTTTTTGGTACATGTATTAGCTTAGTTTTACATTTTGTTTTCCAATTTTATATGATATTTAATTATTTTACAGAGAATTAAGTAACAATGAACTTTCCTGGACAATAGAAGATATGAATGGAACCTTCAGTGAACTACATAATTTGGAAAGTCTAAGTTTGGAGAACAACAAAATCAAGTCTATTGCCAAGAATGCTTTTAATGGTCTAATCAAAGTGAAAACATTAAATCTTCTCAATAATGCAATATCTACCATCCAGTCAAATGCTTTTGAGACCATGGTTGAGATGGATTCATTGTAAGTATACCTATTAGTCAGATCTTTAATTGACACAGTTAATTTTATTGTTTTGTTGATCCTTTATATCTGAACATAGTATTTTTATGTCCTTTTTCCTGTTTGGGTCTTTGCCTAGGTTATTACAATATTGTTATGTAATAATTATTTTGAAAAAATTAAATAATGATAAGAAAAGGCAATATAATCACACCAAAAAAATAAAAGTTGTAGGAGAAAGTGTATTATAAATAAATGTTACCGATATTCAGATGATGATCACAAGATAATGTTCATTTGATATGACACGTTTGTTTAAGATATTTGATTTCAGTCCTCAAACTTATCACAGTTACAGAAGTATAGCAATATAACGCCGGAATTGCCTATACTATACGTTTGTTCATTAGACCAGTCTCACTTAACAAGATATTGTGCAACATAATAACACAAAATATCTGTTTGTATAACCATGCTCCCATTAAATGATATCAAATCTACAATGCAATACAGAAAATGACTGACTTTGATCATATGTATAAAATTATAATCTAGTGTTGTTACAGTGACATTATGTTTGATCTGTTTGTGCATAAGTGGTCAGATTATGTAATCATATTCATTTTGTAATAAAGCTATCATAATTTTGATCGTGTTTAAGATTATTATTGTAAATTTGTTATTTAACGCCAAATAATGGTATTTAACAACATATTTCTTCTTCTCTTGTTGGTGAAAGAAAATAACATGAAAGTTATTTTTCTGTTTCAGGAAATTTTACTCTACTAACTTCTTGTGTGACTGTAAACTAGCCTGGTTATCACAGTGGTTGATGGCCAAGAAATTTGAAAAGTCTGTCACAGCTAAATGTCAACATCCTTCTGAACTTGAGGGAAAAAGTATCTTCAGTATTGATCCTGAACTTTTCAAGTGTGGTAAGCTTTATACTGGCTCTGAACTATATTTAGACATTATAAAAGTATGCATAGAGTATATGTCAAAGATATTTAACTGACATAGAGAGTTATAATGGGGAAAAAGATTGAAAAAAAATTAGGATGTTGTGTCTAAAATGGTTAAATATTTATTAAGAAACCAAAGGATATAGGAGAACCATGAATTTAAATATTCAACAAAATTCAAATTTTTTATAGGCTTGTTAGCAGCAGTTGGCAAAACCACAAAATTAAATATCCACGAAAAATAAAGGAATCTACAGTAGTGATTGATTGATTGTTGGTGTTTTAACGCCACTTTTAAGCGCCACATTTGGGCTATTTCGTGGTGGTCAATTTTTATAGGTGAAAGAAGCCGGAGTGCCCGGAGAAAACCACTGACCTTCAATAGGAAAACTGACAATCCTAGTCAATTAAGATTGGAGTCGAGTGCACCCGCACGAGCGGGGTTCGTACTCACATCCTCAGTGTTGACTGGCTAGTGATTACAGTAGTAGAACTACTTAGACCACTTGGCCACCGAGGCCCCTCTACAGTAGTGTGATTGAAGATAGCATTTGTGATTGAAGATAGCATGTGTGATAGCACATTGATTAAAGCTATCTGATTTCTACTGAATTTGCAAGGAACTTAAAAGTGAATGAATTTAAGAGTTATCAATTTGTGTGTATTGTGATTTTAATGAACAAAGGTCAAATGTATTTGGTATAAATCTTTTATGAAAGCACTCCTATGATATAGATCGGTTCTGAGTCTTATAAGTGATTGATTACATTACAGATGGTAATACATTAAAACCAGTGATCAGTATCAGTCCCAGCTCCAGGAAAGCTGTACAGGGAGATAACATTACTCTTACCTGTGAAGCTGTCAGCACCAAGGATTCAGATACTCAATTCAATTGGAGAAAGGACAATATGGTAAGTTTCATTATTGTGACTGTGACCCAAAAAGAAGATGTTTGGCACTAAACATTTTTAGAACTTACTAAGCTGGAAGAAAATTAAAGAAAATAATTAGTCAAATTGCTGGAAGAAAGTTGGCTGGAGACAAAAATGTTTAATTTATTATATATTGCAGACCTTAACATCAAGGCAGAAGAGTCTATCCAATGAAAATAATTACTTTAGAAAAAAAAACCTCTTTTGTGATGATGTTTGATTCATGACCTCCTTTTATTCCTATCACAGTAAAATACAGGGAAAACTAATGTGGTAATGCAGCCATAATTTCTAAAAGAAAATTTGCGGACATGTTTATTTTAATCTAAAGTATCAGTTATTATCTATTGAAATATTATTGCTATAATTCCCTTGTTTTTCGCTTTTGGAATTCTGGGTTGTGTGATAGAAAATGTAAGTAATATTGATTGGGATTTAGATGATAAATGTACATACATCTAGTCTTAGGATGATACATATGACAAATGTACATACATGTAGCCTAAGGATGGTGTTTATATTTCAGTTACTGCTGAATCCAATAACAGAGAATAATGTAGGAAAAGATAATACTAAGATAATTAGATACTCCTCCAAACTACATCTTTATGACTTGAAGGACAGTGATTCTGGGGTCTATCAATGTCTTATATCTAACAGCTTTGGACCAGCATACTCTAGGAAGGCCACCATTGAAGTCCATGGTAAGTTTTGTCTTTTTAAATTATTTTTTGATATTTTTGTCATTATTTAATTTGTTTCAAGTTTTGATGAACTTTACAAATTTTATTGTTTTACACAGTACAACTTTAATAACTAAATCTTTAAACGGAAAAAGAACAACAAAAATTGACTCTGAAATTTGAAAATTAAAATCTTTTCATCTATCAAGATCTTTGCACCAACAAGTATGAAACAAAGTTGCTATCTTTTTTCAATATTTACCAGTAAAGGATGATGATACATGAAAGCAAACCTTAGAAAATGAAATAACAAAAAAGACATAGTGTAATATAGAGTGTAGATAAAATGGAAATGTGAAAATAAAAATTAAAGTATGTAAAAACAGCAATAGGATTGAATTTTAGACATTTGAATGACTTTACAGTAGTAGATGCTATAAATCTGCTCATTTAAGTTAAAGGTACAATTGGTTTTTTTTTTGGTCTAGTATTCCCCCACTTCTCGAAGAAACCATTTGATGTAACAGTCAAGGTTGGGTCAGCTGCACGTTTGGAATGTTCTGCCACTGGTCGACCTAATCCAACCATTTCTTGGTCCAAAAATGGAGGAGATGATTTTCCAGCAGCTAGAGAAAGGCGTATGCATGTTATGCCAGACGATAATATCTTCTACATCCTTGATGTGACGAAGTTTGATGAGGGAACTTATACTTGCACTGCCAAAAATGATGCAGGATCTATTAGTGCTAATCTTAATCTCACAGTTTTGCGTAAGTATAGGAATTTCTGATGTAAAAAATTTGAATTACAAACTATAAAAACGCTTTCAAAAACAGGGATAAAGAGTTAGCAATACATCCTCATTCATACTTAAAAAAGCAGTTTCTGTGTAATCATTATGAATATCATTAAATATTGAAAATAGTATCCTAAAAGAAAAAAATAGAATATTTATCAAGATATATAAAATCCTTAAAATAAATACCTATGAAAATGCTCTAACTTACAATGAAAATTAGAAATTTGGTATACTTACTGTATAGAAAATGTCAAAAAAATATTTGTCAATATAATATTATTTCATGATATTTGTTTATTATCTTTTGTTAGTATTGTTGCACTTATTTTAGACATATATATGTTATACTCTCCTGAAAACCTGAATGTTTATAAAAATAGAGAGATGTGGTATGATTGCCAATGAGACATCTATCCACCAGAGTTCAAATGACGTGGATATACGCAATTATAGGTCATCATACTGCCTTCTACAATGAGAAAAGCCCATACCATATAGTCAGCTATTAAAGGCCCTAACATGAAAAAATGTGAAACAAGAAAAAAAACAACCTAATTTATAACAATACAATTTAGAAAAACAAATATCAGTCAGGAGACTTACTTAAATGAGTGATTTTTTAAATCACTGATTCAAGTAACATTATGTCCATAAAGGTTGGAAGTAAGAGTTGTCTTTCTTTAATAATCACCTATTTAAGTAGTACAAATTAATCACTAGACTAAGTGATTTAATTTTATTGTAGCTTTAAATATAGAATACTAATGATCCAGGGACTAATTATGTTGCTAAAATTATCAGAACCAACATCTGTGTTGATAGGATGACTGGGTCATGTCAGGTGATGACCTTGTACTAAATCTAGGATAATGACATAAAAATCACTTGTTTAAGTATCATACCTCAATTTCCTTCCAAAAAATCACTTCTTTAAGTATCATTATTTTAATAACCCCCACTAATTTCAACACCCCCGAACAGTGAAATTTTGATAGCGAACAGTAGAATTAAATTACATAATCTATAAGATGAAACCTTGCATTTTACAGGAAAAATACTCCCACTGCTGGGAAAAATCTGTTAAGAAAGTAACAGTTCATTATGTAAAGCCATTTTTATAGCATTTTTTCAACTAAAATAGAATTTGCAGCTAAATGATTTCATCAAAGGCACAAACCTTGCTGCTTAAAAGAAGCAAAAAGTTATTTTTTTCCAATTTAACTAATGAAAAGATATTATCTAAACCTATGTGTTTAAAATTTTGGTAAAACTACAAAATCACAATTTGTAACAAAACTTTGAATTTGCTACTTAAATAAGTGATTTAAAAATCACTTATTTCAATAAGTCCCCTGACTGAATATAACAGACATGAACCAACAACAACCACTGAATCACAGAATCCTGTCTTGGGACAGGCCATAAAGAATGTGGCGGGTTTTAACTTGTTTTGACCGCTCAACCCTGCTTGTTGGTTTGCTTTCAAACACATGCTTGCTGAACGGAGTTTTTGTCGAGCCTGCGACTTTTGTCGCAGAAAGCTCGACATAGGGATAGTGATCCGGCGGCGGCGGCGGCGGCGGCGTTAGCTAACTTCTTAAAAGCTTTATAATTTAGAAGGTGGAAGGTCTGGATGCTTCATACTTTGTATATGGATGCCTCATGTTACGAAGTTTCCGACAGTCACATGTCCAATGTCCTTGACCTCATTTTCATGGTTCAGTGACTACTTGAAAAAAAAGTTCAGATTTTTTGTAATGTTAGATTCTGTCTTATTATAAGTAATAGGATAACTATATTTGGTATGTGCATACCTTGCAAGGTCCTCATGCCCGTCAGACAGTTTTCACTTGACCTCAACCTCATTTCATGGATCAGTGAACAAGGTTAAGTTTTGGTGGTCAAGTCCATATCTCAGATACTATAAGCAATAGGTCTTGTATATTCGGTGTATGGAAGGACTGTAAGGTGTACATGTCCAACTGGCAGGTGTCATCTGACCTTGACCTCATTTTCATGGTTCAGTGGTTATAGTTAAGTTTTTGTGTTTTGGTCTGTTTTTCTTATACTGTATGCCATAGGTCTACTTTATTTGGTGTATGGAATGATTGTAAGGTGTACATGTCTAGCGGGCAGGTGTCATCTGACCTTGACCTCATTTTCATGGTTCAGTGGTCAAAGTTAAGTTTTTGAGTTTTGGTCTTTTTTTCTAATACTATATGCAATAGTTCAACTATATTTGGTATGTACGTACCTTGCAAGGTCCTCTTGCAAGTCAGACAGTTTTCACTTGACCTCGACCTCATTTTATGGATCAGTGAACAAGGTTAAGTTTTGGTGGTCAAGTCCATATCTCAGATACTATAAGCAATTGGTCTTGTATATTCGGTGTATGGAAGGACTGTAAGGTGTACATGTCCAACTGGCAGGTGTCATCTGACCTTGACCTCATTTTCATGGTTCAGTGGTTATAGTTAAGTTTTTGTGTTTTGGTCTGTTTTTCTTATACTGTATGCCATAGGTCTACTATATTTGGTGTATGGAATGATTGTAAGGTGTACATGTCTAGCGGGCAGGTGTCATCTGACCATGACCTCATTTTCATGGTTCAGTGGTCAAAGTTAAGTTTTTTGAGTTTTGGTCTTTTTTTCTAATACTATATGCAATAGTTCAACTATATTTGGTGTATGGAAATATTTTATGATCTATTTGGCAGTCACGCAGGTTTTATTTGACCTTGACCTCATTTTCAAGGTTCATTGCTCAGTGTTAAGTTTTTGTGTTTTGGTCTGTTTTTCTTAAACTATAAGCAATAGGTCAACTATATTTGTTGTATGGAAGAATTGTTAGCTGTACATGCCTGCCTAGCATGGTTCATCTGACCTTGACCTCATTTTCATGGTTCATTGGTCAATGTTTAGTTTACTTGGTTAATGTTAAGTTTATGTGACAGTTGTAATAAAGCTTTATATTTAGGACTATCAACATAATATCAATGATTAGTAAAGAAGGCGAGACATTTCAGCGTGTGCACTCTTGTTTACAATAAATATTTTGATTCACTCTTATAACAATCAAAAGAAATCATTTAAAATAAATTTCCATTTTAGAAATCCCAGCGTTTGTGAGACCAATGGAAAGGATTAAGAAAACACAAGAGGGAGGTACAACTGTGATAGAATGTATGGCAGAGGGTATTCCAAAACCTAGATTGACTTGGTATAAAAGTAACAAACCTCTTGAATCAAATCAACAACGATATTTCTTTACTGCTGATAACCAACTGTTAATAATTGTTCAAACTCAGGCCAGTGATGCAGGAGAATATAAGTGTAATATGACCAATACCCTGGGACATGTCAGTGGTGTATCAAAGCTAGTTGTGTTTCGTGGCGATAAACAGATATCTGTTGATCCCAAACCTGGACCTCTTATTACAAATCCAAGTGATGAATCGACAACAACAGGAATAATAATCATTGCAGTAGTTTGTTGTGTGGTTGGAACATCACTGGTATGGGTTATCATTATATATCAGACTAGAAAGAGACATGAAATGTACAGTGCTACACCAACTGACGAGACCACTTTACCCGGTGAAGTGGCAGGCCAGGGATACCAGCCATATCCAGATGGTACCTTGTACAATGGTCCTATGACTGTTCAGGGCTATCCGTATCAAGACTATCAAATACAGGAATCTGGGTACGAATCTTCATCGGGACAGTATCGTGCTCCGAGAGCAGCGATATTTCCGAGTGATGTTGATGAAGAGGAGAATAATATGACAGCTCAGTTAACTTTTCATGAACATAAGAATCGGGATAATAGTGATAGTGACATAAATTATCCGAATAGTGAGACAGATTCAATGAAAAGTTCTCAAAGTACAAGTAGTACTCATACGAGTGGACATCAGACTTTACAAACGTTTCGTCCAATACTCAGTAATTCTAATACTTTTGTAAATAGAACTCAATCTCAGTCAGATTCTTGTGAAAATTGTGAGAAACAGAGACACTCTTCCAGTGCTGATATTCATTCATGTCATAAACAATCTATACACAGTATACCTATACCGAATGGAGTGGCACTTCATCATGGCTCACTACCTCAGCCACCAGGTTACTCTAGTTTAAAAGGTTAGTTTCTATTATATATTTTAATAGAATAGAAAAGCAAAGTATATGGGGTATACATCCATGACACAAAATCAGTACATGCACACAAAAAGCAAAGGAACAGTGCTTTTATTGCTGAGTATGATTAAGTATGATTTGTATAAGCAGAGATGATAATACATAGATTTATCGATTCTTAAGTTTTCAAGTCTTCCTCACACTTCTATTTGTCCACTAAAAAATATGCTGATATATTAACAATATAATTTAGATGTATGATTTGGTTAAGGAAAATTTAACAGTCTGACACTGGCTGTTGGTTTGAGATCTGAAATAAAAGAGTTTTAAATAGCTACTTGATCATGAAATGGTCAATAAAGTAACTAAATAATCATCCTAATTAAAGTTCTATTTCAATCAGCCATAAAGGAAATCATTGGCAGTCTGTATGGCTAATTGGCTATAGTATTGGAAAAAAGAAATCAGGGTTTTTTTCAGCAATCAATAGTATAATCAATAGTATACTTGTTATTTATGTATTCATAATTATGATATATTATGCATTATCTCTTGAAAAAGACTTCGTTTATGGAAATGTTGTCATTTTGAATTTCTACTTGTATATAGCACTGTTGTTACCACAGGAGTAGAAATACATGTAAATGATACAACTTATTGATGTATTATCTGTTAAAAGTTCCCTGTCAATGTTCATAGACTTACTATAACATGGTTGCCACACATGCAGGAGGTCATGTTGATGTCCAGACAGCTAAGACTTTAGACTTTTAAAATTAGTTTTGTTTACTCCTTTGTTGGCCCACTGCATAAAATGTTTAGAGCAAAGATAGTCTATTGGGAGTCAGCATAGTGTGGTCTGGTTGATTGACATGTCTTCCTGTAGATTATGTAATCATCTCTTCATACAAGAAAGTGATAAAAGTCCTGTATCAATTTTGTACATAGTAGGGTATATTCACATTACATTCCTGTCCTAATTAAATTTGAAATATTACCCACTGGATGTTAAACTTTCATCCTCTTTAAAAACTGTTGAAAAAATGAGAAAAATATATGTTCATGTCCATATATATAACTTTAATATGTTTAAATCAGAGAAAGTGTTTCTTTTAACATTTGTTCAATTAGATTAAGATTAATAGATAACCATGAATTATTTTTTATTTCAGATTCCTCATGTATAATTTGCAATTGTGATAAAGAGGTCAGTGGATGTACTAGTCAACTGTCCCAAACACCACCATACTCAGATCGTAAGTATCCCTTAGGATAAGAAACTATACTAGTCAACTGTTCCAAACACCACCGTACTCAGATCGTAAGTATCCCTTAGGATAACAAACTATACTAGTCAACTGTTCCAAACACCACCATACTCAGATCGTAAGTATCCCTTAGGTTAACAAACTATACTAGTCAACTGTCCCAAACACCACCATACTCAGATCGTAAGTATCCCTTAGGATAACAAACTATACTAGTCAACTGTTCCAAACACCACCGTACTCAGATCGTAAGTATACCTTAGGATAACAAACTATACTAGTCAACTGTCCCAAACACCACCATACTCAGATCGTTAGTATCCCTTAGGATAACAAACTATACTAGTCAACTGTCCCAAACACCACCATACTCAGATCGTAAGTATAACTTAGGATAACAAACTATACTAGTCAACTGTTCCAAACACCACCATACTCAGATCGTAAGTATCCCTTAGGATAACAAACTATACTAGTCAACTGTTCCAAACACCACCGTACTCAGATCGTAAGTATCCCTTAGGATAACAAACTATACTAGTCAACTGTCCCAAACACCACCATACTCAGATCGTAAGTATCCCTTAGGATAACAAACTACTGTAAATTCAGAAATTATTGCGATGTTTTTATTATTGCGAAAAATGCGACAGGGTTATAATCGCAATAATTTAAACACGCATTATGAAAGTTTTTATATGAATTAAACAGGATTTTTCTCAATATCGCAAAAATTAAAACCGCATTTTAGTCTAAAATGACAAAATCGCAATAATAAATGCACGCAATAATTTCTGAATTTACAGTATACTAGTCAACTGTCCCAAACACCACCATACTCAGATCGTAAGTATCCCTTAGGATTTCAAACTATACTAGTCAACTGTCCCAAACACCACCATACTCAGATCGTAAGTATCCCTTAGGATAACAAACTATACTAGTCAACTGTCCCAAACACCACCATACTCAGATCGTAAGTATACCTTAGGATAACAAACTATACTAGTCAACTGTCCCAAACACCACCATACTCAGATCGAAAGTATCCCTTAGGATAAGAAACTATACTAGTCAACTGTTCCAAACACCACCGTACTCAGATCGTAAGTATAACTTAGGATAACAAACTATACTAGTCAACTGTCCCAAACACCACCATACTCAGATCGTAAGTATCCCTTAGGATAAGAAACTATACTAGTCAACTGTTCCAAACACCACCGTACTCAGATCGTAAGTATAACTTAGGATAACAAACTATACTAGTCAACTGTCCCAAACACCACCATACTCAGATCGTAAGTATCCCTTAGGATAACAAACTATACTAGTCAACTGTTCCAAACACCACCATACTCAGATCGTAAGTATCCCTTAGGATAAGAAACTATACTAGTCAACTGTTCCAAACACCACCATACTCAGATCGTAAGTATCCCTTAGGATAACAAACTATACTAGTCAACTGTTCCAAACACCACCATACTCAGATCGTAAGTATCCCTTAGGATAAGAAACTATACTAGTCAACTGTTCCAAACACCACCATACTCAGATCGTAAGTATCCCTTAGGATAAGAAACTATACTAGTCAACTGTTCCAAACACCACCATACTCAGATCGTAAGTATCCCTTAGGATAACAAACTATACTAGTCAACTGTCCAAAACACCACCATACTCAGATCGTAAGTATCCCTTAGGATAACAAACTATACTAGTCAACTGTTCCAAACACCACCATACTCAGATCGTATGTATCCCTTAGGATAACAAACTATACTAGTCAACTGTCCACAACACCACCATTCTAAGATCGTAAGTATCCCTTAGGATAACAAACTATACTAGTCAACTGTCCAAAACACCACCATACTCAGATCGTAAGTATAACTTAGGATAACAAACTATGCTAGTCAACTGTCCCAAACACCACCGTACTCAGATCGTAAGTATAACTTAGGATAACAAACTATGCTAGTCAACTGTCCCAAACACCACCGTACTCAGATCGTAAGTATCCCTTAGGATAACAAACTATGCTAGTCAACTGTCCCAAACACCACCGTACTCAGATCGTAAGTATCCCTTAGGTTAACAAACTATACTAGTCAACTGTCCCAAACACCACCGTACTCAGATCGTAAGTATACCTTAGGATAACAAACTATGCTAGTCAACTGTCCCAAACACCACCGTACTCAGATCGTAAGTATCCCTTAGGATAACAAACTATACTAGTCAACTGTCCCAAACACCACCGTACTCAGATCGTTAGTATCCCTTAGGTTAACAAACTATACTAGTCAACTGTCCCAAACAACACCATACTCAGATCGTAAGTATCCCTTAGGATAACAAACTATACTAGTCAACTGTCCCAAACACCACCGTACTCAGATCTTAAGTATCCCTTAGGATAACAAACTATACTAGTCAACTGTTCCAAACACCACCATACTCAGATCGTAAGTATCCCTTAAGATAACAAACTATACTAGTCAACTGTCCAAAACACCACCATACTCAGATCGTAAGTATCCCTTAGGATAACAAACTATACTAGTCAACTGTTCCAAACACCACCATACTCAGATCGTGAGTATAACTTAGGATAACAAACTATACTAGTCAACTGTCCCAAGCACCACCATACTCAGATCGTAAGTATCCCTTAGGATAACAAACTATACTACTCAACTGTCCAAAACACCACCATACTCAGATCGTAAGTATAACTTAGGATAACAAACTATACTAGTCAACTGTTCCAAACACCACCATACTCAGATCGTATGTATCCCTTAGGATAACACACTATACTAGTCAACTGTCCAAAACACCACCATACTCAGATCGTTAGTATCCCTTAGGTTAACAAACTATACTACTCAACTGTTCCAAACACCACCATACTCAGATCGTAAGTATCCCTTAGGTTAACAAACTATACTAGTCAACTGTCCCAAACACCACCATACTCAGATCGTAAGTATCCCTTAGGATAACAAACTATACTAGTCAACTGTCCCAAACACCACCATACTCAGATCGTATGTATCCCTTAGGATAACAAACTATACTAGTCAACTGTCCAAAACACCACCATACTCAGATCGTTAGTATCCCTTAGGTTAACAAACTATACTAGTCAACTGTCCCAAACACCACCATACTCAGATCGTAAGTATCCCTTAGGATAACAAACTATACTAGTCAACTGTCCCAAACACCACCATACTCAGATCGTAAGTATCCCTTAGGATAACAAACTATACTAGTCAACTGTCCCAAACACCACCGTACTCAGATCGTAAGTATCCCTTAGGATAACAAACTATACTAGTCAACTGTCCCAAACACCACCATACTCAGATCGTAAGTATCCCTTAGGATAACAAACTATACTAGTCAACTGTCCAAAACACCACCATACTCAGATCGTAAGTATCCCTTAGGATAACAAACTATACTAGTCAACTGTCCCAAACACCACCATACTCAGATCTTAAGTATCCCTTAGGATAACAAACTATACTAGTCAACTGTTCCAAACACCACCATACTCAGATCGTAAGTATCCCTTAGGTTAACAAACTATACTAGTCAACTGTCCCAAACACCACCATACTCAGATCGTATGTATCCCTTAGGATAACAAACTATACTAGTCAACTGTCCCAAACATTACCATACTCAGATCGTAAGTATCCCTTAGGATAACAAACTATACTAGTCAACTGTTCCAAACACCACCATACTCAGATCGTAAGTATCCCTTAGGATAACAAACTATGCTAGTCAACTGTTCCAAACACCACCATACTCAGATCGTAAGTATAACTTAGGATAACAAACTATACTAGTCAACTGTCCCAAACACCACCATACTCAGATCGTATGTATCCCTTAGGATAAGAAACTATACTAGTCAACTGTTCCAAACACCACCGTACTCAGATCGTAAGTATCCCTTAGGATAACAAACTAAACTAGTCAACTGTTCCAAACACCACCATACTCAGATCGTAAGTATAACTTAGGATAACAAACTATACTAGTCAACTGTCCCAAACACCACCATACTCAGATCGTAAGTATCCCTTAGGTTAACAAACTATACTAGTCAACTGTTCCAAACACCACCATACTCAGATCGTAAGTATCCCTTAGGTTAACAAACTATACTAGTCAACTGTTCCAAACACCACCATACTCAGATCGTAAGTATACCTTAGGATAACAAACTATACTAGTCAACTGTCCAAAACACCACCATACTCAGATCGTTAGTATAACTTAGGATAACAAACTATACTAGTCAACTGTTCCAAACACCACCATACTCAGATCGTAAGTATCCCTTAGGATAACAAACTATACTAGTCAACTGTTCCAAACACCACCATACTCAGATCGTAAGTATCCCATAGGATAACAAACTATACTAGTCAACTGTCCCAAACACCACCATACTCAGATCGTAAGTATCCCTTAGGATAACAAACTATACTAGTCAACTGTCCCAAACACCACCATACTCAGATCGTAAGTATCCCTTAGGATAACAAACTATACTAGTCAACTGTTCCAAACACCACCATACTCAGATCGTAAGTATCCCATAGGATAACAAACTATACTAGTCAACTGTCCAAAACACCACCATACTCAGATCGTAAGTATCCCATAGGATAACAAACTATACTAGTCAACTGTCCCAAACACCACCATACTCAGATCGTAAGTATCCCTTAGGATAACAAACTATACTAGTCAACTGTCCCAAACACCACCATACTCAGATCGTAAGTATCCCTTAGGATAACAAACTATACTAGTCAACTGTTCCAAACACCACCATACTCAGATTGTAAGTATCCCTTAGGATAACAAACTATACTAGTCAACTGTCCCAAACACCACCATACTCAGATCGTAAGTATCCCTTAGGATAACAAACTATACTAGTCAACTGTTCCAAACACCACCATACTCAGATCGTAAGTATCCCTTAGGTTAACAAACTATACTAGTCAACTGTCCCAAACACCACCATACTCAGATCGTAAGTATACCTTAGGATAACAAACTATCTTAAACACTCTCATACTCAGATCGTAAGTATACCTTAGGATAACAAACTATCTTAAACACTCTTATACTCAGATCGTAAGTATACCTTAGGATAACAAACTATCTTAAACACCACCATACTCAGATCGTAAGTATACCTTAGGATAACAAACTATCTTTAACACTCTCGTACTCAGATCGTAAGTATACCTTAGGATAACAAACTATCTTAAACACCACCATACTCAGATCGTAAGTATACCTTAGGATAACAAACTATCTTTAACACTCTCATACTCAGATCGTAAGTATACCTTAGGATAACAAACTATCTTAAACACCACCATACTCAGATCATAAGTATACCTTAGGATAACAAACTATCTTAAACACCACCATACTCAGATCGTAAGTATACCTTAGGATAACAAACTATCTTAAACACTCTCATACCTCGTTTTTATAACCTAAGACCTACAGACTTTCTCACACACCATTTAACTCAACTTATAAGTTTGATCAAGGATAACTAATTGACCCTATTACCACCAAACTCAAATTGTATAATTACGGGTAACTAACTTTCCCAAGCATGACCAAACCCAAATGGTAAAAATAACTAATAAAAGTTAGTTGTCTTAGATACCACATAGTGAAATTCATGAATATAATTAAAAAAAAAAAATTGTGCATTTTTCACATACCATGAAAAAATGGTAGGTTTAACTTGGGTTTATTAGACTTTGATCACCAACATGACCTTCTCTAAATAGTTAAAGGTATAATTTAGCTGTTCCATGCAGCATCATACTCAAATTGAGTAATGTAGTTGTCTGCTAACCACCATATACACAAATCACATGTATAACTTGAGAGACTAGTCCCACAAAGCACTGAATTATTAATTTAAGAGTTGTTTGTTATCCATCTTGAGCACTATGGTACTTAAATCTGAGTTATATGTTAAGGTCAACTAAAATATGTTTATTAAAGGTAAATAGTAATAATATAAAAAAGTCATTCAGTCCACAGTTCATGTCATTATCTATACATGTATGTTAGAAATTATACCCATAGATAACATAATGTAGTATAATTCTTAATTTGAATGTTTTTGTTCTTACAGCTTGTAATCATCATACCAAAGTACCTTCATCACCAAATGGACCACATACAAGTTGCCATAACTCATCTAATACTCCAGACAGTGACAATAGTCAAGAGAAAAAACCACCTGCCATTCCTCCAAAACAACATAAACATTCTCATCTTCATTCTAATACTTGTTCTTTACCGAATGGCGTCCATTTAATGGTTAATGGATCTGTCGTTCATGGTGCTGTAGACATTTAGTATTTATTTTTCAAATTGTGATTTGCATAATATTTAAAGATGAGTTTGTTAGATTTTTTTTAAACAGAAAAAGGACATGTATTGTTATATAGTTCAATATCTGTTTTGTTTTTGATGAAAACGGATCAGTTTAATAATTATTTTTTAAATCTAAAAACAGTAAAATTTCTTGTTTATTCAATGAATGTAAGGGCATTATCATTATTTTTGCTTAAAGTGCCATTACATAAAATTTGTTATTTAAATTATGCTTTATTTCTAGTATTGAGTATGAAGGTACTACAAATCTTTGCTTATGAAAATGAAGTTTGTTTTGAAAATGTCCGTATATTTTTTTTTATGAATTTGGTGAATGCCATTATACTTTTGTCTAATTTTGGAATACTGAATGTTTATTATTAATTATTAGATTTATCATACTTTATTAAGTCCAACCATTTCATGAAAGCAGTATAATGAAAAATAAATATAAGCTCTTAAGGTACCTACTTACCAGCTATAAATCTGCTTCATTGGCCATTAGATCTTTTAAAATTAAAATTTTTACTGAAAAAGACTTTAGTTTGAATTATCGGTAGTTTGAATTGTAAATTTTACTAATGAATCTTAAATGGCATTTTTTTTTTATAATTTTGTTATACATCATGTTTTTATAGAAATTTCATTTTGTGAATCATGTTAAAATTATCGTGCATTGTACTTTGCTGTATATAAATGACGAGATATACCTCAGAGAGAGCCCAGAAACTTACTAATGGCTTTTCTACCAGATTGATACAAATACAATTTTTTGTCAAACAGTTAAACATCATCACAATCTTTTGGAGTACAAAAGTCCACTATTTAGTGGTTACAAATAATGGATGATTTTAGACATTTGACCTCCATATTTTAATATGAGTTTTACTGGGCAGTCTCAGTGTTCTTGTAAATGGCATCTGGACCAATCAGTTAACTCCAAAAATGTTCCTAAAATACATCACCATTTCTATTTTTATTTACTGCAGGGAAGTCCTAGTTCATTTTCAATGGCTTTAATTTGTTGATTTTATTTAGAATATTAGTATAGCTGTGTGTATGTCATTGAATCAGCTTTATGAAGTTATGATTTACAAAAATATTTTTCTTATCTGGATTGAAATTTGAAAAACAAACAATTTATTCCACCATATAGATGTGGTAACAAATCAGACCTGTAAAATATTTTGCTACTTCTCATCAGAAATTTAATGCATTGATTTGAGACTATCTTACACAATTAATTTAATTTAAGTAGAGTTATAATATAACTTCTATTACACAAATATTCTGTTTTAGCCAGAATCACATTTTGTGCAAGAAACTTTTGTTAAACAGATGAGAAAACATGAAAGCAAAAATTAACAAAAATTAATCTTTGGAAACAACAAAAGTATACAAAATTTAACACAGGACCCTTCTCCTCCACAAAAAGGTAAAGCAATGCATTCATTCTTGTTTAAAATAGGGATTTATTTTAAAATATTTATTTATTATATTCAAGGTCTAAGTAAAATCTGAAGAAAAGCAAACAATAAATGTCTTTACATAGGTTTTGTTAAGCTGGTCTAAGAAAATGAGGCTATTCTATACACAAGTTTTTGGTAATGAAAAAGTAAAACATGAATATTTATGAAGCTGGTTTAATTTTGACATGATTGTGATAGAAATATTTGTTATGTACAAGTGTACCAAAGTTATAAGGTTAATCCAATATTGGGTGCTAAGCATTTCCAGAGACTTGGAATTCAGAAGTTTACTGTACTTGTTGTTTGACGAGAAAATACTTTTTTCTGACAAAGAAATCCATAAAGTTGCTGTTCACAAATTAAAAAAAATATGATAAAATTATTTTTGTGAAACATTTTCTTGTAAAGGCAATGGGTAAAATATTCAGATGACCATATTAACACCCTGAAGTCATCATCTAGTATGAGACAAATTTCACAAATGTTTATAAAATGTAAATTATACCACATATTTGCTAGTTATATTTATATTTTTAAGTATAACCTACCCCTATGAATTCAGTAATGGCAATCATTGCAATTTGCCTTTAACAGCAGATAGAGAATATTTTACAGTTAAAAAGAAAATATGAATTACAATACCGTATGTTTTTGCTATTGTCTTATTTACAATAGTAACTTCGTCTATTATTGCTTTTCAGTATAAATAGTCTCTGTTTTTGCATCACATCTTTTCAAGTTTGTAATCTAGAATTAAAATTTTTATCAAAAGTTTCACTTGATCCAAAATGAATACTATTTACTTTAATATAACAGCTTCAAATATTTGGTGTCAATATAAACATACTCTATTAACTTATTCATCAGCATGTTTCATTTGATATGAATAGGAGACATTTTCTATTAGTGATAAACACATAAAATTTGAATTTTGGATTAAACATCTGCACACATAATACAAACCAAAACTAAGTGTCAATTTTCATGGGTTGACATAACAGCTGTGGATATATTAGGAACAAGAAGATTGTGTTACATCTACAATAGTTGATGATAAAGCAGCACCTTTATATACATGTCTGAACAGTGTTTTAATGTGCAAACATTTTCTAATGTTTCACTCTGACATGCAATTTGTGAGCATAAAATTACAAATTGATGTAGTATATTCCTTCAAGTTTAGGTGAAATAAGGTTAGATTTCTTCCTATGAAAATTTCATATAAAGTGTGTACCTGAAATTGATATGTTAATATAAAATATACCACAAATGTTTTCTACATTGATGAATTTTTGTAATATCAGTTTCCTTTATTAATTGATTTAATGTCTCGTAATTGGATCATATTTCGTTATTCAACACTCTCTCTTCATAAAATTAATTACTTTATGCATCAGATGTTAGAACATCTGCATGTGAGGAAAAATATTATTAATATGCATATCACATATCTGATATAAACACCCAGAATGCCTTTACAAGTATATGTTTCACAACATGTTGTTACAAACATTTGCCAAAATAAAACTCAATAAGAAATCCAATCATTGTTGACAGAACTTTCTTTTTTTTGTATGTTGACTTATGTTTTAGTAAAATCAATTCTTGTGTTAAAAATAAATTACATTGATTTTTAAATAAAAGGACATTAGTTTTGTACATTTTATTGTGCCATTAGTTTTGTGCCTTTGATATAATGTGATAACATACATTTCAGTATTGTAATCAGAATTTGATTTAATGGGTTCTTTAAAAACAGTATCTACGATTTATTTTGTTATAAAGATTGATATATGCAAATGAAATGTTCAAAGTCAATTTATGTATACATTGTCAAATTGAAATACCATCTCATTTGTATGCAAACTTTTGCATGTTTGTTATGTATTACCAATGGCCAAAATAATGTTCAATTCTTGTATTCTTTGAAAATAAAAATCATTTTTAATAAAAAAATATATATTAATAATTATTGGTTTTCTTTAGAATGCTATCCATAAAAGCATAAATCAAATCAAATAAATTAGATATTTAATTTTACCAATCAAAGACTCACAATTGTCCAATGACAATTAACAATTATAAATTTTGAGGCATACAAATCCATACCTTACCAATTACATAATGTGAAAAGATGTGTTGAGGGAAAGTCTGATTGGAAAGAGTTGAAAACTTCACCTACTCCAAATCCAAACTAGCTCCAGCATTTAAACCTGAATCAGTAGAAAGAATTCATAACAGCATTGAAAAATGGTAGCAATACTACAACAGACACAAAGGGTTAATGCTTTGGAATTATATTTTGATTTTCCTTGTGTCTGATCCAGCATAGCAAACATGTAAATAGGTAAATAAAAGATATAACACAAGTAAAAAGTGGCTTTAATTGTGGATCTGCAGAAAACACAAAGGGAAGTGCTAGTATGCTTACATTTACTTCATTTGAACTTTGGTGGATAGTTGTCTCAATGGCAATCATACCAATTCTCTATAGAACTATCTTCACATGTCATTAACCATATCAGTTTTTCTTAGGGATTTAAACTTAACCCCCCCCCCCAAAAAAAAAAATAAAACAAAAGCAGCATAAAAACTATAAAAATACAAACAGAACAAACACAAATTAAAGGACCTTTGTGAGCATGCTCACATACCCCACGCCCCCACATTGTCACTGGACAAACAAAATCTCACCAGATTCCTAAGTTTAAAGACTCGTAACTCTACAAAAGTCGACTGTAAAAAAATTTCTTGTGGATATGCACATTAACATATTATGTCCGCATTAACTACAAAGTTTCATGAAATTATGTTGTGTGGTTTCAGAGGAGTTGCGATTACAAACTGTTGCAGTAGTATATTTAGGCCAATAAGTTCAAAGGGGCATAACTCCTAGAAAAAAAAATTGAATCATAATTTCCTGTCGATATGCACAACTACATAGTATGTCCCTATTATCTACAAAGTTTCATGAAATTCTGTTTTGTGGTCTCAGAGGAGTTGCGATGACAAACTGTTGCAGTAGTATATTGAGGCCAATAAGTTCAAAGGGGCATAACTCCTAGAAAAAAAAATTGAATCATAATTTCCTGTCGATATGCAGATCTACATAGTATGTCCTTATTATCTACAAAGTTTCATGGAATTCTGTTATGTGGTTTCAGAGGAGTTGCGATGACAAGAACAGGACTGACGGACGGACAGACGGGTCAAAAACATTATACCCGACGCAATAAATTGCATGGGGTATAATAAACCAAAAAAAAATAACTGATGTTGTGTTAGGAATTTTTGTATTTGACCTATATTTCACACATTTTTTTGTTTCGTGTGTGACCAAAGTTGCAGAATGCGAGACGGGGATTATATATAAACTATTTGTATAAAGCTTTTATATTTCAGGAGGTAGAAGCCCTGGATGCTTCATACCTTGAATGAAGATGCTTTATGTTACAGAGTTTCCGTGTGTCATATGACCATTTTCCTTGACCGCATTTTCATGGTTCTTATGTGAAATGCTCACTTATGGGTAATAGAATAACTATGTTTGGTATGGGATCCGGGCAGGGTCTACATGTCCGTTAGACAGGGTTCACCTGACCTGGACCTCATTTCATGGATCAGTGATGACCAAGGTTAAAGCTTTGTGGTCAAGTCCGTATCTCAGATACTATAAACAATAGGTCAACTATATTTGGTGTGTGTAAATGATTGTAAAGTGAACATGTCAGACTGGCAGGTTTCATCTGACCTTGACCTCATTTTCATAGTTCTTTGGTCAATGTTAAGTTTTTGTGGTGTGGTCTGTTTCTCGAATACTATAAGCATTAGTCCAATTATATTCGGTGAATAGTATGAATTTCAATCCTGATAAGTAAAGCAGGCGAGACATTTCAGCGTGTACACTCTTGTCATTTAAATTTTTTTTACATTTAAATTCTTTTTAAATCGTTTTGGGATGTTTTCAACCTCGGACACGAAAAGTAGTCTGAACAAAATTTTAAGCTATCGGGTTCATTCGCCGGTTCACCTAGTTTGCCCACAGAATCTGTTCTCCTGTGTCTTTAAGGTATGTCCAAGACACAATTTAGTCATATCGATCAGTACTCACTTTATCCCTATCTTAGCCCTTTGTAGAGACACGATAGATATATTGTTTACCTCAGGTTTTTATTTTACAAATGTGTCACTGTTTTCATCTGCTTCAATCGATATAATGTTGACATGCACATGACATTGTCAGTTTGTTTTCGACTTGTTGCCGATATCGACGACATCGATTGGATATTGACAATTTATGTTCAAAATGTTTATCTGATACAGTTGACCATCAAGGCGATTCAGTATCTCCTAGTGTATTGTCTCACCTGTGAAGAAAGTCGCAGAATGCAAGACATAGGGATTACTATCTGGCACGGCTTAACTACCTGTATAAAGATTTATATTTTAGAAGGTAAAAGATCTGGATGCTTCATACCCTGTATTCAGATGCCTTATGTTACAGAGTTTCAAGTGTGTCAGATTTCCATTGTCCTTGACCTCATTTTCATGGTCCAAGGACCGCTTGGGAAAATTGTGTTGTTGTGTGAAATACTCGCTTATAATGAGTAATATGATAACTATAATTGGTATTTGGGATCCTGGCAAGGTCTTTATGTCCGTCAGACAGGGTTCACCTGACCATGACCTGATTTCATGTATCAGTAATCATTAATCAAGGTTAATTTTTCGTGGTCAAGTCCTTATCTCATATTATAAGCAATAGGTCAACTTTATTTTGTGTATGGAATGATTGTAAGATGTAAATGTCTGACTGCCAGGTTCACCTCGGACCTTGACATAATTTCGTGGTTCCTTGATCAATGGTTAAATTTTAATGGTTTGGTTTGTTTCTCAGATACTATAAGCAATAGATCAGCTGTATTTGGTGTATGGTATTATTGTAAAGTGTACTTGTCCGTCTGGCAGGTTTTTTTCTGGTCTTGACTTTTTTTTATGTTCACTGAAAAATGTTAAGTTTTTGGTCTAATTCTCAGATACTTTTATGGACACTATATGTGGTATATGGGATAATTGTAAGGTGTACATCTGACCCTGACCTCATTACCATGGTTCATTGGTAAATTTTCAGTTGTCATGGTTTTCTCCGTTTATCAGATACTAGCATTAGGTCAGCTATATTTGTTGTATGGAATGACGATTATAAGTTGTACATATCTGTCTGTCAGAGTTAAATTGACCTTGACCTCATTTTCATGGTTCAATGTTAAGTGTTCATGGTTTTGTCTTTTTATCATATACTATAAGCAGTGGGCTAACTATACTTGGTGTATGGTATGATTGTAAGGTGTACATGTCTGTCTGGCAGGGTTCATCTGACTTTGACCTTGACTTTCAACATAAATCCAATCAGGATAAGTAAAGCAGGCGAGACATTTCAGAGTGTGAGGGTGTACTCTTGTTTGTATAAGTTGTCGATGTCGACAATTTCAATTCAATAACGACCATCAAAAAAAGAGATTGTGATTTGTTTCTCTATTCATTCCAGCTAGTTAAGTGTACGTCCCTAATAAAATTGCGAAATTTAGCGATGTATAAATATGTAAGGGAGCGATCATTTGATTTTTATGGGGGGGGGGGGGGGGCTAGGATGAAAAAATTTGTCCTGCATTATTTTTAGTTGTAATCTCTGTCCTGCCTTTTTATTTTTCACTCTATTCGGCCCTGAATTTTTTTATTAGTTTATCCTGACTTAAAACTCCTGTCCTGCCTTTTTTCAAATTTCATCCTAGCCCCCCTCCCCCTCCCCATAAAAATCAAATGGTAGCTCCCTTAGTGCTGTACAATTTCGTATGATACTCAACTGATTTGTTCTTTCAATGAGTTTACACAATGTTCATCTGATACAGTTATTGATATCGATGACATGAGTGGATATCGACAAATTATGTTCCAAATGTCTACCTGCTACAGTTGTCATGGTTTTCTTTATAGACAATTTAGTTTCTCCTGGCTTATCTGTTTAGGTTTCGATATCGATGATATCGATTCGATACCGACATTAAAAAAAAACCAACAACCACTGAATTAAAGAGCTCAAAAGAGAGACAGTTACATTAAGGATTTGGCTGGGTTAATAAAAATAAGAAGATGTAGTATGAGTGCCAATGAGACAACTCTCCATCCAAGTCACAACGTGTAAAAAGTAAACAATTATAGGTCAAAGTACGGCCTTCAACATGGAGCCTTGGCTCGCATCGAGCAGCAAGCTATAAAGGGCCTCAAAATGACTTGTGTAAAACAATTCAAACAGGAAAACCAACGGTCTAATCTATATAAAAAACGAGAAACGAGAAACACTTAAGAACCACATCAACAAACGACAACCACTGAAACAGGTACCTGACTTAGGACAGGTGCAAACAAATGCAGCGGGTTTAAACGTTTTTATAGGGGCCAACCTTCACCCTACCTGAAATAGTAGTGTTACATTACAACATAGAAAGACACACTATAAAATATCAATTAAAATGGCTTTATGAGCGGTAAACCATTCCCTTAAATATGAGACAGTGGTTTTGCATCAAAACATAAATAAAAAATGTAAAGCTCAGTTGGAAAAAGCTTGACTCGTCATGTCAACGGTATGCAACCAAATAAAATTTGGAGAAGTAACCACATGATTGCCTTGTATAAGTTAGTACGATGAAAACAAAAAAAAATCATTGATTACAATTCAGCTATCGGCTAACCCTTTATCAATCTTTATATCTAGATATATCATTGTCTTAATTTATTATCCAATATCGAGTTGACATTGTCGATATCGACGATGTCGACTATTTTGTCATGGTTGTCGTCATCAAAATCGTGATTAAGTTCATCGATATCGATTCAATATCGTGTCGACATTTGTCGATTTCTCTTTAAGTTGTTCTTGCTTGTGGTCATTTTTATTTCAGACGATAG